ATTACACTACTTGACTTGAAGGTGCTGATAACGAAACATAAATCCAAAAAAAACATTCATTTATTTGGAAATATGATGGGCAGTATTTATATTTAAATAGAAACAAATATTAAGGTTATTCAAGGGAAAGAATTCTGAACTTCTCTGGTTAGTAGTATGTGTGAACTACGAACTCTGAGAATGGGCGTGTTAATATCACAAGGAAGGAGGGCGAGATGACACCTGAGGAGCGTAGATGGATGCCTACCAGCTGTTGAAACAAAACTTAAGACACCTAAGGCATGTATGTGCAGAAGGGCTAAATGTTTATTTGGTTATTTAATAATGTTAAATTGACTCAGTTTGCGTTTAACGCGGTTACTTTGGCCCCTGGTTTATTTTGATGCTGTAGAAGATGTACTAAAGTATACACCCAACACATGCAACAGAAATGACTCAATGCAAATACCAGAGATATGCATGGAAGATATTATTACCACCAGTCAGTCAGTCAAACCAGAGGAGGATAATAAATAATCTTAGAATTCTATTTCAATTCACGTACATCATAACATTCTAACAAGTTACTTATTATGACTAAAAAAACACTCGTCCTATTTCCCATCTGATTGTATTTGATTGATAACACTCATATTATTATTTGTGAACGTACTTTATCTTATATTGGTTTTTATTCAAATGTCTAATCAACAATTCCACTCATGTATATAAACGAAGCAAGAAAGTTATGTGGGTACCTTGATATGATGATAAATAATACTGTATGATTTATCAAAATAAAATCTTATCTGTAATGGAGTTCTACTCTACCAGATTGCCTAAGTTTTATACTTATTTCAATAAAATTTAACCAGTGATTTGTAACAGTCCATCTAATTATATTCGAGAGTATTCACTGAAAACTGGAAAACAACCATACTGCTGTTGCATTTGGAGGTAAAAGTCTCCTTTTTTATAGTATCTATTCGAATATAAACCTTATTTATATGTAGAATGTTAGCTTGATTATATCTGAGACGAAAACACATACAACCATAGTTTGGTTTGTAAGGGTTAGTTATGTTTTTACGAGTTGATCACTATAGAAAATTAATCTGATGCTCGCTAGTGACTTGCAACAGGATGGAGTTTCCTGGAGTTCTAGTGAGAAGTCGTGACCAGTGAGGTCCAATTAGATGTCACGTGTGTGGATGGATGTCCCACCAACGACAATGGTTGGGGTCGCGCTAAATCACGAATTGGTAGGAGTTAGAATTCATGGGCTAGCCATTGAATTGGGTCCCAGTGGCTGGATGGTATACGAGCTTGCCTTGTAACCGGAAGGTCCTGGGTTCGAACCCCCTGTGGTGGGTGCGTACTGGCGATGATTCCCAAACTAGGATGAAACAGCTGTCCAGTACTCTTAGTTTGTTTTCAATGGTTCTCTAACTGATATCAATCCTTGATCAACTCGTAAAAACATACAACCATCCCGAGAATACTGCATACCCGAATTCATATCTCACCTTCCTAAAGCAACTCATTGAAAGGGTAAAAGTATTAGCTCCAATTTCCTATCCTAATTGATTTCCCAGTGTGAATATGAATTCTATGACCAACCGGTGAATAACTTGAATCAACTGTTTGTTTCAGTCTCTTTACCGTCGTTCAGTTACATTTTTGTCCTATTTAAATATCTTATGTAATATTGCTTCCATCTGAAAAGTTATCATCATAATTGCGAATGTTGCACACACACACCTTATAATAACTGAAGGATACTCTTCCCAACTATATAAAGTCAAGGGAACACGATTACCGCGTTTTTGTGTCGCTTTAAACAGAACAGTGTAGGTGAAACACGTTACGTCTTACACTGCGTTGTACGTTTTTTGAGGTCAAATTTTACCAGTATCTGATTGGTCTTATGATTTCTTTGTTAAATGTAATCACGATTGTACAGCTTATGAAAATGAATCACCGAAAAGAAATCTCCCCTCGCTGTTTACGTCTTTTTCTTATAAACCTGAACTGCCTGTGCGAAAACTATGTGAGCGTAATTTTCTGAGCACTGTTCACTAAGTCCAGAACCTCCTATCAACTGACATCATATGAAATTTGCAAGTATGTTAAAACTTTTCTGTACATAAACCTCATAATTTATTTAGGCTGTAAGCAGAAGCTGATGAGAAGGCAACGAAATAAATGATGGTACCATATGATTCCTCACAAGACACTGTTGTTCTTGCTTTATTCAAATTCATAGGGGGGGGGTAAATGTATGAAATGTTCGATTTTCGTTAAGAGCCAACATCAGTTAGAGAGGCAGAGAATTGGAAACCGACAAGAAGCACTGTATAGGTGTTTCATCTTGTTCTGGGACTCTTCATCAGTGTGCACCCAAGACTCCAACAGGTATCAAACCCTGGACCATCAGGTTACGAGACCAAGCTCATTGACCATCCATCCACTTGGGCGGGGATTCAATGACCTCTGGATTGCAACTTTGTCAACTCGTGATACATTTTTTTTTTTCCTTCACGTTCCCCAGTGGAACATAGGACTTCAAGCTTACAGGATGGGGTTGCTAGCCTCATGCCCAACCTTTCCTCTTCACCAGCATTAATTCTGGCTTAGCGAGGTAAAGGAGTGCGTCGGCCGGGGATCGAACCCCGGACCATGTGCATGGTCGGCGAGCATCCTAACCGCTATGCCACTGACGCACTCGTGATACTTACTAACTGATGTTAGTTCGTAACGAAAATTTAACATTTATATTAATTGCCAGTTAACTGATGACTAGTAGATGAATTTCCTGAAGCTGCCGTCGGAAGTCGTAACCAGCGGGGACCACTATGTAAAGGATGAATTCGGTGCTCATCAAAGACATTGGTCAGGGCAGCATTGTATCTAACATGAGTTGACAGAGTTAGAATTCAGGGTTAATTGAATCTTAACCCAAATTGCTGAATGGCCAACGAGCTTGGTCCTGTAACCTGAAGCTCCTCAGTTGGACCCCTTGCGGAGGACGCTGACAAAATGCAGAGTCTTCTGAACACCTTGAGCTGCAATCTACGAATGTTTGGCATGCGATTCGCTCCCGCCAAATGCAAGATGATGTTACAGGATTGGACTACACCGACTCCTAGATTAGAAATAGGAAGTGAAGTGGTAGAGCACGTTGACCGCTTCACTTACTTGGGAAGTACCATCAGCCAATGCCAACGGGTTGATCTCTGCCGAAATCTCAGTACGGATACAGAGGGCTAGTTTCGCATATGCCAGTTTACGCCGTCTCTGGCGTAGACGTGATATCCGACTATCGACCAAAGGACGTGTGTACGGCTCATCGGTCCGCTCCGTACTCCTCTATGGCTGTGAGACCTGGCCATTGAGAGTGAAAGACATGAGAAAGCCGACTAGCTGTCTTTGATCATAGGTGCCTGCGTTCTATCTCCCGTGTGAAGTGGTATATTAGGGTTAGCAATATTGAGGTTAGACATCGGTCGAGTGCTAGGTAGGTAAGGAGGGGAAATCAATCGATGAGGCTGTGGAGCTACATCGACTGAGATGGCTGGGACATGTTTTACGCATGTCTCCCTAGCCATCGCCTTCCTCGACTGGGCAATGTTAGCTGATATAGGGTCAGGCTGGAAAAGAGCTAGCATATGGTGGTCAAACCAAAACATGGCTCCATCGGTCAATGAAATCTACAACACTTAGTCTAAGCCACGTAGGAAGGTGTAGACTTCCTAGTTGGGGTCCCTGGGACGGTAAAAACCAATGGCTGGAAACAATTGGTGACATGGCTCAAAATCGTTCTCAATGGCTAGCGCAGATGCATCCACTCCTTGTGACTTATGATTTCCAATGAAACTGTTTTGTTCTTCGTTATTACTATTCCTTTGTCTCACACCTCTGTTTACTGTCTATATTATTATGCATTTCTCCTACTTTCTTCTCTTGCTTTGTATGCTACATGGAGGGAGTGTGGCGACTTGAACTGCCGCACATCGGTGGAAAGTTCTATGTCGAAAACAGACGGACCGACAGACAGACCCCTCGCGGAGTAGTCATGGGTGCGGCATAGTGATGAAGAGTCCCCCGAATAGGTTGACACAGTTGTCCAGTGATCCCTAGTGATTTTCAATTATCTCTCTCACCAAAATAATAATGTGTTGGTTAGTGGTGAAAATTCTAACAACTGAGATAAAGCACTACTGGAAAACGGTGTTTTTTTTTTAAAGAAAAAGTCAAATTATGTAATACAGGTGTATACACATCTTGAGCAGCGCGATACGCATGCATATATATATATATAAGACAAAGCTATATTGAATAAACATGGTGTAGAAGATATACCAGCAGAGGTGAAAAGGTGTACACACACACACACACACACACTGTATTAGTATATGCGTTTGCCTGTGTCTGTGATTATGTGTTTACATGTGAGGGAGAGAGTTAACGAGCGAGCGAGAGAGAGAGATAACATACACACACATGTTGAGAGACAGTAATGACATTCATTTTTATAGAAATATTAGTAAATGCATACACACACGTGGGCAACAATAACCATAATAATAATAATAATAATAATAGTGGAAATGTAGCGAGGGAATTGTAAAACACACAACTCAGCGTCATTACAATACTCTCTCTCTGTAGAAAAAAAAGGTGATGAACCTGACTACTGATTAAGTTATAATCTATCTGTTATAACAAACAAACACACAAACACACACGCACATACACACACTAACTGGGATAACACCTGAACACATAATAAATAGAAAGTAGTAGTAGTAGTAAGAATAGGTAGTTAGTTAGATTAAAAACAAACAAAATAATGTGCCTTCCTGTCTCATGACTTTTTAATTGTAAAAATGGGATTAAGATGGAAAAAAAACAAGAAGCACTTTACACACTGAACATCATCATTACACCATATTAATCATCTTCAAAATAAAAATAAAATGTCTGTGAAAATTGAACCAATATTTGTATATTGGGGGGGGGGGGAGCGGAGTGAGAGAGAGAGAGAAATAGACAACACGGGGTATGTGTGTGTGAGTGAGTGGAAGAAGATGCCAAAAAAGGGAAACACAACACAATTCGAGTAGAGTAAGGAATTTGTTTTGCAACCCAAAGAAACAAAATTAATTAATCAATAAATAAATAAATAAATGTAAATAAATAGACAAATTAAATTTGATAGAAGAATTTCACAGATTGACGACTACTATATTATATACTATATATGAAATTTCAAAAAACTTCACAATACAAAAAAGGGGAGGGGTATGTTGTTTTTATTTATATATGTGTATAAAATTAAATGCGGAAAAAAATGTAGTGAAATGAAGGAATCCGTGTTTTACAACAACAACAACAACAACACATCAACAAACATGATGTGTACTCAACCCACAAGACACACACACACGTGATAACACAGTAAGTAGAAATCAAAAATGAAAGCCATATTTTCCTTATAGATGAAATTATACCACTAACTACACTAACCAAAAAGCAAAACTGAAAATTTGAGTAAATAATAATCAAAGGAACGACCGGGTAAATTATAAGAAAGAAAAGAGGAAAAGAGAGGAATTAATATTCATCTTCTCTTGTGTGCTCAAATGTTTTCTTCTTCTTAGCTAGCTTCTTCTCTCTTCTATTACAGATAGTCATCCTTTCGTTGACTTCCCGTAAAGGCGTCTGCACGACAAAGAGGGCATGTACGTTTAGTCTGTAAAGTGTAAAGGAGAGCAAAGATTAGCAAACAAAATTATGTAGTATATAAATGGAAATCATTTCGTTTGATAAGAATTAAATATTGAACAGAACACATTAGTGGTCAAGTTATCACATCAGTTTATACCTTTTCTTCCTTGTAGTATTTCAGCTATCTATTGTTTGAACAGCCATAAAACAACATAATTCTTATATTACATGATGTCCTTACGTGTATCGATTATAATATGAAAATGTTAGCGGTATTTTACGAAGATTTACCTGGATATCACTCTAAGAATGGTATTGGTACACGCATGTGGAAGAAGCCTATCGCTACATCTAATCTGTTGTAGAAACTCTGAAGGTAACTGCCCAAAACATACAACCCAATACGCTGCTGTATCTTTGTAGATTATTACATCTATGAAAGGTCTCTAGGAGGAATGAAACTCTAAGTCTTACAGCAGGGCAGTTGACCACATATATATATATATATATATATATATATATATATATATATATATATATATTGGGGACGAAGCCACAGAGTACTGGTCTACATCAGTTAGTAGTTTTGCAAGAGAGTAAAATAAGCGATTATATGTGTTGGCCAGTTGACTAATTTGGGGGGTTTACATTGGCCTTAATGTGTGCATCGGTGGTTCAGTAGTAGTAGAACACTCGCCGACCACACACCACACATGATCTGAGATTCGACCCCTGGCAGACGAACTCCTAAACACCTCATCTAGCCTAGAGTAAGACCGGTAAAGAGGGAAGGTTAGGCGTGAGGTTGGCAAACACAGCCTGTGAAAGAACAACTTCGCGATTGAAACTTCAGTGCTCAAACTTCAATCCCTATGGTTCCACACTGGGAACGCAAAGGAATAAAAAAATACAATATCAGCCTTAATGGGTTGTGTTAGCTGAAGAAGTGTCAGGACAGGTTTGTTTTACATTTTTTAAAATGACATCCCCTTTGGTGCTGGTGAAATATCTGACAACGCATAGAAAATGGTGTGTTTACTGCATAGTAATTCGCTACGTCCTATTTTACGATTTGTGAGGCATGGTCAGTGAAAGTAGACTCTGAAAACATCACATGTTCTATCTGCAGACGCTAGATGAAACACTGTGGTAATTTATTCGAGATTAGATGTAATAGTAAGGAAGGAAGGTAAGCGCTAGTTGATGAGTTTGTAAACTTAGAGATCAACTAAGATGAGTGAGTAATGTGTAACAAATGTCAAGTCACCATCAACACCTATCTTGACAACCAGTGTTAACTAGATTATATGATAAGGTTAGAAAAGAGAGTTAAGTGTAGCCAGATCAAAATGTGGCATTTATTCATGAGTTCATTGACCTTTGATCTATACTATGTGTAACTACACCTTGTGGAGTGATGTAAATGCATTCATTTATTATCTTCACAAGTTGAGCATTAAAACTCTTCCACACAGTTCTGGCTATTGTTGTATCATCATATATATCTACTTTGTTCTTTTGGGTTATTTCAAAATAAGGCGTTTCATCAATGCAAGGTACTGCATCTACTCAAGCCATTTGTCTAATATGAAGTGATATTATAACTAACGAAACAACTAACAGACTCGTTGACATGATCTGTAGAGAGGTGTACTGGAGACACAAATAATGTGACAAGTGTATATTCAGTTCATGGGTAGGCTAAGTAAAGCTTAAAACCGACACATATGGATGGATATGAATTGTAAATATAACAGTGAGGCATTAAATAAGAGCTAACGACTGGGAAAAAATGATTGATCATGATATGAACCTTTCTCTCTCTCTCCCTCTCTCTGTGGTGAAAGTGCATATTGACAACTGCTACTTCAAAGAGTTCCACCTCTGTTTTATTCAAATGATATGACTAAGCCTCTTTTTTTGGGGGGGTGGGGAGAGTCACCATCATACTTTACAATACTTTATAAAGATAACTGTTTCAGAGAGGCGGAAGAATCACAATGTACATATCGATTAACAGAAATAAAAGCATTGCTTCTAAATTATTGGAGAAAAGAAAGTTTTGAAGACTGGTGATTTGAATCCTAGTGTGACCGATCTTGGTTCAACTTCAGCTTTTTATCGAATTACTTTTATGAAGGACTAATGAATGCGTAGCGTCTTTTTTTCCTCTGAAAAAGTTAGTTGTTAATATTTTTAAGAGATTACTGTGCAGTATATGAAGTTCTTATCTTTAGAGCTTTTCCCCCCTTTCATGTGTACAGTTTATTTATTCTACTTATTATGAAGATATTTTCGTATTAGTTGTTCTTTCATATGGAATGGACTGTTTGGCGTATTCACCACATGCTTATTGTGAATATACACAAGCCACTGTTGTAAAGATGGTATCATCGTGTGGGTAGTCCTGATGTTCGGCAGTGTCTTTGGACACAGCAGAGATCACAATTGATTGGGTATTGTCATCTGAAAACATCAAGTTCAGTGGCTTGGACATGTACTAGGAATGTCAACCCAGAGGTTTGCGTACCAGTGTCCGTTGCCCATCTCTGAGGCTAGATGAAAAAAGCGGTGGTCAGCCTATGACGTGATGTCGTGTCATGGGATGAAAGATATATTTAAATAAGTTCCATTATGGATAAAATTTTGTCTTGATAAAATCACACAGTGGTGTTATACAGTAATATTTACTGTTGACGTTTTGAGCACAATTCATTACTCATAATCATATCAAGTTAATCACACAACTTTCTTGCTTTATTTATATACATGAGTAAAAATTGATTAGACATTTGAATAAAATCAATATAAGAAAGAATACAAGGCATCTGCAGTAGTTTTACCAGATAAAAAGGGGACATTTGAGACCACCCTACGTAGGATTCTTAATAAAGCAGGAATTACAGTGGCATTCAAACCTACAAACTCACTCAGAGACAAGCACTATGGGCTAAAAGACCCAGTGGACCCACTTAAACAAAATAATATAATTTACAAAATACATTGCAATGACTGAGTTAAGTCAACTACATAGGTGAAACTAGTAGGTCAGGAGTAGTGAGATTATCAGAACATAAGAATTTAGCTAAGGTTGGAATGACTGACCCCACGAAGATTAGTAATTTAAAGAAAAGCTTATCAATCGCACTGCATCTATTAACACACAATCACACGATGGTTATTTGAAGTACCATCAGCCCCAACGGGTTGATCTCTGACGAAATTTCAGCACGAATACAGAGGGCTAGGTTCGCATTCGCCAGTTTTCGCCGTCTCTGGCGTAGACGCGATATCCGACTATCGACCAAAGGGCGTGTGTACTGCTCAACAGTCCGCTCCGTCCTCCTTTATGGCTGTGAGACCTGGCCATTGAGAGCAGAAGACATGAAAAGATTAGCTGTCTTCGATCATAGGTGTCTGCGTTCTATCTCCCGCGCGAAGTGGTATAATAAGGTGAGCAATATTGAGGTTAGGCGTCGAGTGCTAGGTAAGGCGGGGAAATCAATCGACAAAACGGTGAAATTACTTCGACTGAGATGGTTAGGACATGTGCTACGTATGCCTAGTCATCGCCTTCCTCGACAGGCAATTTTAGCTGATATAGGGCCAGGCTGGAAAAGAGCTAGCGGTGGTCAAACGAAAACATGGCACCAATCAATGAAATCTACAACAGTTAATCTAAGCCACGTAGGAAGGTGTAGACTTCCTAGTTGGGGTCCTCGGGACGGTAAAAACCAATGGTTGGAAACAATTGGTGACATGGCTCAAAATCATTCTCAGTGGCGCAGATGCATCCACTCCTTGTGACTTATGATTTCCAATGAACTGTTTTTCTCCGTTATTACTATTCCTTTGTCTCACACCTCTGTTTACTGTTTCCATTATGCATTTCTTCTACTTCCTTCTCTTGCTTTGCGTGCTACATAGATTGTGGCGACTTGAACTGCCGCACATATGTGCAAAGTTCTATGTCGAAAACCGACCGACCGACCGAATCACACGATGGGGTGGGACAGGGTCAAAATTCTAATAAGTAATATAGGTAGGTAAAGAGAGATAGAGGTTGATTACTGAATCCTGGTTCATCGAGTCTACACCCAACACAATCAACAGAGGTGACTCAACGCAAATACCAAAAATATGGAAGATGTTATTACCCGTCAAATCAGAGGATAATAAATAATGTTAAAATGCATTCAATTCACATTATAACATTCTAACAAGTTACTTATATCCCATCTGACTGTATTTGATTTTATTCAAATGTTTAATCAATGTTTACTCATGTATATAAACGAAGCAAGAAAGTTGTGTGATTAACTTGATATGATATGATTATGAGCAGTAATAATTTGTGATCGAAACGTGGTCATCAGTTAATAGTACTGTATAGTATTGTGTCAATATTAGTGCCAATATTGTACCAAGTTTGTTTTTAATTTTTAAAAAATTAAAAAACTGTCGTAAAGACGAATTTCTCCAAACTCATCGCCAAAGAGGGGTGGGTGGGTGGAAGTGAATATATACAAGCTACTGTTGTAAAGATGGTATAATCTTGTGAGTAATTCTGATGTTCGGCAGTGTCTTTGGGCACGGTAGAGATCACCATTCATTGGGAGGGAGTGAGGTCAGCAACCACCTCATCTCGTGACAGAAAAAACACCACTAATGCTACTAAAACTTAGAAGATTAAGCTTGAAACCTTATGTTAGGTAGTATACAGGTAGATGACAACTATTTCATAGTGAATTGAATATCAGACAAACAACCAGCAATACTGGTATTACAGATCACCCCCCTTAATGAAAATTAACCCAGGATAACCTCATTCACCCAATCAAAAAGTAACACATACACACACACGCACGCACAAATTAGGAGACTAACCTTTAACCACTTATCCACACAATCTGCATGAAATTCATGAGAACAACGCATTTGACGAATTTGTTGACTCTCTTCATAATCATCTAAGCATATCATGCACCGATCATATTCATCAGATGGACTGTCATCATTTTCTTCATTAGTACTAGTAGTAGTAGTAATGTGTGTCGCAGTAGAAGCTGCATTATCATCATCATCACAATAGCTTTTCTGTGCATTGAAATCTTTGTTGTTGGCAAAGTTCGTCTTAGATATATACAAACGAATCGGTAGACTTTCCAACTCCTCTTTGCTAAGCCCACGACCGCCACCAACACCATTGGTTGTAGATTCTAGCTGAACTGCCAAGTGGATTAGAGTATCAACACTGGCAGCGGCGGCAGCAGCTGCTGCAACGGCCGCAGCTGCAGCAGCAGCAGTCGCTGCTGAAGTAGGATCAGATACACTTTGAGATAGAATTGAGCTTCCATTGGAGAATCGAACTGAATGATCAGTGTAATGAGTGAATAAGCTTTCCGAAAAGTTATTAACTGCAAAGCCTGTCGTAGCTGATGAATTGTTGTTGTTGTTTGAGGTAGATGGTGTGGGCACAGCCAATAGAAAGGGAAACAGACTAGTTAGATAAGCTGGAGTGGTTGTGCCACTACTACTAGTAGCTGCAAATACTGGACCGATTGAAGAATTAGATGGGACAAAACCATTTGCCGATGAATTGGGCATAGAAGCGGGTCGTTGAGATATACTATGTTGGTGTTGTACACCACCACCACCACCACCATAATGGCTGTGATAACATTGTTGATGAGCATTATGCTGTAACTGTTGCACTGTTGCCACATTTCTAGGATAATATAAATGGGCGTGTAGGATTGGTACTGGTATGGAAGGAGTCGGTGCAGCTCTGGATGGAGTAAGCATTGAAATAGCATTTGATGATGCATGTCTGTGGCTCTGTTGTTGAAGAGCAACGGCCGCAGCCATAGCAACAGCTAATGCGGCAGCTGCCGAAGTAATTGGCTGAACACTAACTGGAGACGGCATTGTTGTCTGTAGATTATCCAATAATAGATTGGTTTGAACACTTCTCCGACTTTCTGCGTAACCAGCCAATAATGATGTCTGAGGAGGAACAATAGGATGGTGTGGTACTAGGGGCGGTGTGACAGCCGATGCAACTCGAGTTCCATTGGCGACACCTGCTGAAGCACTCACTACAACACTTTGGTTAGAACCTCCAGCGGTAGCAGTCATAGCAGAAGGATAGTATGGCAATGCGTACGAATCCTGGATAAGAAAAATGTATAGTCAAATGACAGTTACATCATCAATATACTCAAAGGTAAAACAAATTTTGTTTAAGTATTAAAAGATCACTACTTCATTTGTTCCTGACCAACAATCACAGTTAGTCATCACACACACCTAGTCTTTAGAACTTAATTAGATGCTATTTTGAACACTAATCATAATGAAACACTAGTCACCACCTTGGAAACGTATTTTAATAAACTTCGTCCTTTAAAATTTCAACAAAACATGATCACAACTTGCATAACTCTGTAAAGCATAGCAGCTGTTTACTTAGTTATTGACTTGAAAAATAACCTGGAGATTGCAATCGTCTTAGAAAATAGGAGAAGCGGTACAACAAGAAGTTCGCATGCAGTGTACATTTTCCCTAACTCCTCTTTTGACTGTGAAGCAGTGTACACACTTTCACCAAGAATTACTTGCTTTTTTGAGATAATCAGGAGATATTCCTTCACATTACAGTTACTTTATCAACATTTAACAACAAAGAAGCCAAAATGATAATCATTTCGGGGACTGTGTGCAAACAATAGCTATTTCGCTGTCTCTCTTCTACTCACTTTCCTGGAAAAAATTTTTGATGTGCCAAGCCATGAGGCACACTTACTATTTGAGGACTGATAATGCCACCGAGTTGCCACCACCAGGGCTGAAGTAGGTGGAACGGGGCTCGAACCCGGGAGTTGTTGGCTGACAAACAATACTGCACAACATGTGATTCAATCAGAATGGTTATTCAGTATACTGTTTACAATACATCCGTGAATAAGATGCAATATATATGTAATGATACAAAAATGGCAATTAGGAAAAATTGAAGAACTACAAAGTTACACAATCTTAACACAGAAATCCTCTCCATATATAAAATAAGAGAAAATGTTTTGAGATTTTAATGCATATGATCTAGATAAGTCTTATGATTAATATATCTTCTGAATGCGTTTACTTTTGCATTCATTGCTGCTATAGTCAGTCATTTCACACACACACACACACACGCATGCATGCACACACGAGAAAATATCTTTGAAAACATCATGACTAGCCAGTGAATTTCGGTTTTTTAAATCCATTTACAACACAAGGTATATGGTGTTTCTATTAGCCTGTGAAAAAGCTACACCAATGAAGATAAGATATGGAACTCATAATTATACACGTTAACTGACTAGCCACTAGGAAATATGCGACTTGAAACTTCCCACTGACGACAAACCTTTGTAAAATGATACGGATGCAAGGAATCAGAAATAGCATTCTTGTCAATTAAAAAGATGAATTGATTTAAGAAACCAAACTAACAATACTAGCTACTCATAAATTGACTTTTTAGAAATCAGAACAGTAGTATAGAATTTTTGTTTTCTAATTAGTGTAATAGTGAGACCAAAAATTCATGAGAAATTCTTTTTTTCTATCAAAATATTTCTTAAGCTTTCTGACCTCCTCGTATTCATCAGATGAAATATGCTCTTGCTAACTTTCCTTTTCCTTCATTATTGTTGATAATATGTGCGTCGGTGGCACACAAGTAGAATGCTCTCCAGCCAAGCAGGTGGTTCGGGTTCGAGCCCCGGCCACCGACGCACTCCTTTACATCGCAAAGCCAGTAATAAGACTGGTTAAGAGGGAAGGTTTGGCATGAGGCCCCATCCCGTAAAAATAAACAACACTGCTAATGAAACTTCAAGCCTCTAGCATGAAGCCCTATGTTCCATTAGGAGCGTAAAGGAATAAAATAATAAATGCTTTTGTTGATGTCTGCGTAAGGTGGTGGACAGAGAATTTTTAGAGAGGGAGAGTTATTTACCTGATATATATGCATAAGACTGGGGAGTGCATAAAACCTGTAGGCGTCTAAAACATAAACCCCACAATGTTTATACGTTTTGTTAAGAAATGCTCATGTGAATTCTTGAGGGGAATAAACGAATGTCAGATATTTAATAGGAATAATATTATTGTATTTGTAGTGGAAGGTTTGTAAAGCTGGAGTCAGTATTTTTTTTCTGTTAGTCAAATATGCATTTGAAATGTAGTTGTTAGTGGTAAACGAGACGAAAATTCCTCGGCTGAAAATAACTGGTACAAGAAACGATAGCAACTGATCTACCACAAAATACTTTAGCCATGGAAATATAATGATGATAATAATAATAGTAATTTGCTTTATTCCAAAACACTACTACTTCTGAATAGTGTGGGATTCTCAGCAATTGGTACCATGTTGCACCTAATTTACTCGACAACAACAAAAACAGAAATAAAATATTACAGGAGTGGTAATAGCAGCTTTTTTGTTATTGCCAGTGACAATGAAGTCAAAAATGTACAAAAAGTGTAAAATGGTGATAATTATGTTAATATAGCTAGAATTATAAGTTATTTGAAATAGTGTCACCATAGATTACAAGTAGGAGAGAATAAAAGAGTCCTTTACGTTCCCAGTGGAACATAGGGTGGCTTCAAGCTAGAGGCCTGAAGTTTCAGTAGCAGTGTTTATTTTTTACAGGATGGGGTCCCTAGCCTCATGCACAACCTTTCCTCTTTACCAGCTTTTATTACTGGTTTAGCGAGGTAAAGGAGTGCGTCGGCCGGGGATCGAACCCCGGACTATGTGCATGGTCAGCGAGCGTCCTAACCGCTGTGCCACCGACGCACTATTTTGCTAATAACATAGTATTTTATATAATCTACACGCTTAACACTTTCTCTATCATTACAGAACTCGAGTGAAATAGGGTATCCTTGGGTTTTTGTATTTGTGCCAGCAAGTGATCTTTTATAATGACTTGTAGTCCCACCTGCACAGATGCTAGGGTAGAGTTGTGAATAAAAAGCGTGCTGAGAGAGTGAAACAATATGGATTTAGCTCGTTGTTCGCATGATGTCAGCCGTCTGTCGACTACAATGGTAACGAGATGACTTAGTGGCATACCACTTGCTCTACTGACAATCTTTGATACCCTTCACAATAGGATATAGTCTTTACTGAGTAGTTCAGACAAAACTAGGAAGGATCAATAAAGAACAATAAGTAAGATACAAGAGTTAACAAATTGTAAAAGTAGAGGTTGAGTGATACCTGATTATCTTAACTTTTAATGTAGAAGGTTAGGTGGAATACTTTGCTAAAAATTCACAAGATATAGTATGACCAAGAAGGGTGAGAGGAAAGAGTTTCTGTTTCAGTGCCCTCTATGCTACAAGCATCTTGGGGGCGAGTAAGTTTGTGTGGATCCCTTTTACGCCTGAAGGTAAAATTAACTGTCGGACATTTGGAGGGATTTAAGGTAAGACCATTTAGCTTAGACGCCTGGCTGGTATCCGACAAAAATCTATTTAGTTCGGGACAGTCAGATAGGGACGTTGAGTTAGAATCTCGCTTAAGAATCGGAATAGATTTAATTCCTTCATACAATTCTTTAACTTAAACAAACTTAAACAAAGAACGACAAATATTATCAGTTCAGCTGCTTATGACTTGACAAACTGAATACGAATTTTCCAGGATTCACTGGAATACCTTCACACAAATTGTTTCTTTAACCAGAGTTTTTCACGTTTTCTAGTTTTGGTATGAACCTCTCCAATGAAATTGACAGACATGACTGTCCATTCTAAGTTCATTTCATTCACAGTGTGTTCAAAGCTACAAATGTATTCCTTCAGTTTAGAATTACGGTCTTTGGTGTACTCGATTTGAGATTTCGCCATGCGTCAAATATTTTTTCGGTGAGGGTGGCAATTCACAAAGACTTAAAAAACTGGTGTGGAAAACAGCATGTAAGCCTTAAGCCTTGTTTGAAGAACTTTGGACAAGTCAACTTCCTAGATATTTTGCAATGTACAGTCACCAGGCGATTCAATGACTTAAAAGATTGAGAAAGGAGACGTTTCTCTAGAAACTGCATACAATCCTTCCGACTAATAAACTTGAACAAACAATGTAACTTTGGTGCATTTGTTTAAATATAATCTGTTAATATTAGGATAAGTAATTGAAAACAGAGGTGATGAAGATTCCTGGACATGAACAACAACAACAGACAACGATCAGCATAAATGGGAGGAACCTGAAAGAAACAACCTCTTTTACCTACCTGGGAAGCATCGTTTCAACTACAGGCCGACGGAACTGACGAGGATATCAAAGCAAGAATCGGAAAAGCAAGACAAGCTTTCACTACTCTCAAGTCTGTGTGGAGGTCAACAGCACTCAGCATCAAAAATAAGATCCGGATTTTCAACTCCAATGTGAAGTCAGTGCCAGTTACTATACGGATCAGAGACTTGCACTGCGCGTCATAAAAAGCATCTCAAACAAACTACAGACCTTCATTAACAGTTGTCTTCGTTCAATACTCAAGATCAGATGGCCAGAAAAGATCAGTAACGGAGATCTCTGGGAACGAACCAACCAGGAACCGATTGTGAAACAAACAATTAAGCAGGAAGAAATGGAGATGGATTGGCTATATTCTGAGGAAACCATCAAGTGACATCACTAGACAAGCCATTGCTCGAGTGGAACCCGAAAGGGAAGCGGTGAGTTGGTCGTCAGTGCAAGGGTGACTTGAAGGAGGTCATGTGAAGAGGAGATGAAAACGTGTGGGCAAACTTCGAGCCAGGTGAAGACTAGCAGAGAACCGAACGCAATGGAGACGCACGGCTGAAGCCGTATGTTCCTCTAGGAATTAAAGGAAACAATAATAATAATAATTGAAAATATAAAATCTCTTATGCTAAGGTCATCATATACACAATTTAAGTATGATGAACAAACTTACAGGTCTTTGATGAATAAGCCTGAGAAATTGAAGCAATGTATTGACACCACGAGTTGTGGCTAGTGTAGACGGGCCAATAGTTGATAACTGTGGTCTCAATGGAAGTACCGGTATAGGCGTAACAGAAGAAAATGATGGAGGTAGATAAAGGGAAATTGATGCATTATGCGAAGCGGTTGTTGCTGACGATAGACTAACAATACTCGGCAGGAAATTCATTGGATTATTCAGATCAGTGAATTGATGATTATTATTAACAGGTGAGTTATTTGTATCTAGAGACACAGTAGTGGCAGTGGCAGCAGCAGCAGCAGCAACTTCTGTAGGCAGATTAGAATAAATTGATGACTGATAATGCGATGCACTACCTGGCGCTGAAAAGGTGTTGTTATTCAACATATTTGATTGTATATGATCTGAAAATGCCAGTGGAGTAGAGATGAAATTCGATGCTGAATTCTGTGCTGATACAGATAATCCTGAAGTCGGCATTGTGAATCGAATTGTGTTATCAGTTGCACTAGTGACATGTGAGATTGTTGTGAAAGGATAGGAAGAAGAAGAAGTGTCAACCAATTCACTTGTACTTGGAATGAGTGTTAATCCATCAGAGGTAGTAAAAGCTGGTATAATTGAATGCAGCATGGAGGATGAAGCAAGTTGTCCTAAACCTATGTGATATATGATACAAAAAAGGGTAAACGTATCAACCGAAATTCTTCAGAACAATAGTGGAAACTAATATATATTGTTATTGTAAGCATTAAAAAAAGAGCTGCTAACATATTTACACTTCGTAATAGTAATATTAAAAATAATAAATAACAATTACCTGTGCAGATATTTGGAATATGTAAGTTGATATCTGAATTACAGGCAAAGTTTCCTGTGTTACCACCACCACCAGTGGATGGAGATGAATAAAATGTTGAAGGATCAAATATAGCTTGAGATGAAGATAAGTTACACATCGACGTTGGATGGATACTGAACGAGTTCAGTACATTATTTGTAGATGGTTCTGACATGAATTGCGACTGTCTATAGTTGAATCCATGTTGACCTACCAGATTGTTATGATCACCGTGGTTGCATATATCAGAAATTAAATGATTTACCGGACAGTTATTATTACATTCAAGCGATTGAGATGTACATTGCACAAGTGGATCAATAATTCTTTGGTTTGGTATAGCATGCATAAGAACTGAACTGTTAGACTGTGATGGGAATGTCTGCAGTCCAGAACGATCTGATGCTCTCCTGTGATGAACAGCAGCTGAAACAGCTTGAGCGGCTGCAGCAACTGCATGAGCTGCAGCAGAAGCGACAACAGCTGCGGCAACAACTGTTGCTTCTTCTGGATGAGAAGTAGGCGAGGGGACTACAAAGCTTGCAGTAGATCCGTTCATCTCAGAACGTGAGAAACAGGATTGTGTGAATTGTACACTTTCGTTCACACCACCATAATGATGAGGTCTTAAAGCTCCAGATCCATTGGAATTCAAACCATCGAAACAGACATTTATTGGCTTTAAATAAAAAGAAAACGCCACATAATTTGAAAGCAAATCAATAAATACTATGTGTAACTCAAAAGAATTGAAATGCTCTCATGTAAGATTTTAACATAAACTATATCGTATAGCTATTTAAAGCACCAGTCGATGCGATGCACTCGCAAATCATAAACACGTGGCTCTCGCGCTTGCTAGGTTTATAATGCAACCTTAATAAAAGAAATGAGACGATGAGAAAGACAAAGGTACTCAGATAGGAACATACAGCTAGGTTGAATATGTTGGTGGTGAAGCTACACGAAGTCATTAACACATCAAGCTGCTCAGCAGACATCTTCCAGTTGAACAACTATTTTTTAAGCTACAAATGAATTTATTTTGATTAAAGTGAAACTGACAAAGGTGGCAGCACAATTCTGATGAAACAGTTGTGACAATTGATATACCAGGGTGAATACCAACAAACAAGATCTATTCGTAGCTCTATTTTAGCACACCTTGTGGATAGTGAGCATAAGGTTGACGTTAATACTGCATTTAAAATTATTTATCGCATTCCTACTAACCTTAATTTTGCTTTACGAGTTCGTCTTCTACATACAGCTGAAGCAATAGGAATCCACCTGAAGAAGCCAAACCTGTGTGTTCAGAAGAAATTTGTACAACCACTTTCCTTACCTTGGCGATCGTTATATGGATGTATACACCGGACTACTTCGCCCCCCTCCCCCTAAACCTTTAAAAATTATAAATGTCCAAATTATTTTATTTTTTTTGACTACTTCATCTTTAATTACATATTATCCTTGTAAAATTATTTTATTCTTATGACCACTTCAACCTTAGTTACAAGTTATCATTGTCCAAATCGTTTTATTTTCTTTAACAATCTGTTACGTAATCAACCTGTGCACACGCTTATTCCTTAATTACTCTTCATTTTTCCAAAACTATGCATTATGCGTGCGTCGGTGGCATAGCGGTTAGGACGCTCGCCGACCATGCACATGGTCCGGGGTTCGATCCCCGGCCGACGCACTCCTTTACTTCGCAGTAAAAAGAAACTCTATCTGACACTATCCGTTGAAATCATTAAAGAATTTTAAGTTTCCAACTGTTGTGTACTAACACGAGATGGGATATTTTTACAAGTGTTGATTTGCAGGGGGATTCGATTGGTTACAAGTGTGATCACGAGCTGAGATCAGTTAGAAGACCGTTAGAAAACCACCAGGGAGTACTTGGACAGCTGTTTTGTCCTAGTTTGGGTGACCAAACCTGTAACCAATCAAATCCCTGCAAACCAACACTTGATAACTAATCTGATACCTACTAGCGATTGGCACTATGCAGGAAGTTTCCCGGAGTTCTAGTGAGAAGTCGTGATCAGCGGAATCCATCAAGTCATATAAGAGGACAGTTACTCACTCACCGATGACATAGGCTGGTAGTTCAGCTATACATATAGCGAATTGGTAGAAGTTGGAATTCATGGGCCAGTGGATAGGGTCTCAGTGACTGAGTAGTCTACGGGTTTTCCTTATAACAGGAACGTCTTAAGTTCAACCCCCGGTGGATGTGCACTGCTAAGAAGGGTTTCGATAATCTATCTTGAAGTTAACCTATACCTCTCTCATATGCAAGCAGATTAGTGCAAAGATGTCCTGACCAAATACCTTTCAGTTATTTACAAGATCTCATCTCTGATTAAGTCATAACACATTTACACTAAAAGGTCATCAGGAAAATTTTTTTCAAAACTCTGTTTCAAGTCTACGGGTGAAATAAAATGAATATCTCGTAAGTTCGGGTGGGGGTGGGTGCGAGGAATGTAGTCCTCTACAGGTTTAATGGTTTTGGTTTATTCGAGAAAACGGATTATCAAATTAAAGGTATAAGTGGCAAAAGAAATAAAACATACATTTTTATTTATCACAGTTGAACTGGACTGATCACCTTGTGATGTAATATTAGATTCTAAGGTATAGGTGGGCCGCTGCTGCTGAGAGTCAACAGATTCTAGAAAACTGTTGCTGGCATTATTACTGTTTGATTCTACAGCTGCAGTATTACATCCAGAAGCGTAGGCAAACGATAATACATCACTGCGATTAGTGCTTTGAGACGACAGCTCAGAATCAGACGTAAGAAGATCAGACTGTTCGCCCACTGTACGATGCATACAATCTATAGGAAAGCGAAAACAAATGGTATAAAATCACCACTGAAAATATATAGTGAAATACCAGTGAACAAAGTTGAACATGAAACCTCACCAGAACAACTTGAAACTGAGAATTTTGAATGATTGTGCATCTTGATTTCAGGATAGAGGGTAAAGTAGCTAACTACGATTACTATTCTACTTATTTTGGAGGTCTCATCTCCACAGATAGGCAAATACGCTAAGAAATCCTATCACAGATACGAGAAATATACTTAATATTTGCAAATTTGTACCCCTTTTCACGTCCATCAGTTGTTTGATTGTCAATCAGACGACAAGCTTACTCCGTAGCAGTCTGTTTTTCGCCACTCTACACCTGGCAAGCTTTAATCGTTGAGGATGTAGGAAAAAAGGTCACATTGTTTCACCAAGTGTTTTCACAGTGTTGCTGATGTTAAATGAAACTAGGCAGTCTACAATAGTGAGGTGATATACAGCGTAGGATGAGAAAGGTAAACCAACACATAAGACTGTAAATCTCAACTAATTCGAGTGGCCGCAGCATGTGGTGTGCATGCCCAGTCACTACCACACTCAGCAAATAACGTTAACCGATTGAAAGAAGTTAAGAGCACTTAGACCAAAACATGGGACCATTCTATCATTCTTGGTTGTTATGAGTCATATACGTAAACGTAAATTGTCTGACTGGGGTTAGTGTGATGACAGTAGTTAATAATACGACATCTGGTGAAGTTAATCAATCGCACAAGTGAATTTACTTTTTAATATCTTTTAAACTTGGGATATCTCCACTAATCTTAATTCAAATACTCTCTTTTTACAGTCTTATAGCTTAATAAAGTGACATTATATTTTTGATTGCTTTTTCCTGTGCCGTTGTGGGGTGTGGGAGCTTAAAATGATGTACTTTTGTGAAAGGTTCTATCTTTTGTTTGTTTCCCTCTCTATTTTTTTGTCTGTTACGAGACTTGTTGATAATGCCAAACCAACTATGACTGACATTTTAGAAAGTTGCATGTTTATTGTTGTAAAAATACTCTTTCTATTCACTGATATATATATAATGAAAACAGCCATTGGAAAAGTAATCAGGCTATGAAATTGAAACTCTTAGAAAACCTACCCGCATGTATTTCATCTGCTCCAAGCGACTCTGTAGATTCTTCAACCTCCGTACATTCAATTGCATCACAGTTATTTGTATTTTCTGAATTATTTGACAGGATATTATTGTTTTCATTATGCGAAATAAGGGGATTTTGTAAGGAGACTGAAGAATTTAGTTGATGATTACAATGTGCAGCAGACGTTAATGCTGATGAAAAAGAGGATGGTGACTGAGGATCTCTGCCTTTGTTATTAACCACTGAAATTTCACAAGAATATTTGCAAATGTTATTCAAGTAAAATAGAAAAAGAACATACAGTCTAAGCCTTATCAATTCAAAATGAATGGTTTTAACATATTTTCAAAACATATAAACTCCCTTATTAGCGGGTCTGAAACTAATATGATCCCCACTACTTATTAACACGTATGGAGTGGCGTCGCGCATCGGGCCATCGAGTGAGATCTAAACGGGAAACAAGTTGTGCATGTGTCTGACGGTGATATGGAGATGAGACTATGGACAATCGTGGGGCCAGCTAAAGACGGCCGCAGAGGACGGGAAAAACTGGAGATGTGCTGTTGAAGCCCTATATTCCACTTGGAAACCAGGGGAACAATAATATAAGATACTAATATTTAGTTCTATTACTTAATTTCGACCAGTCAAATGGGTCTACGTCATACAGCTGACTTCAGACTTAATGACAAAACACAAGTGGAAAACAGCCGCAGCACCATGTATATGACAGCAGTGGTGCGCTAACCAAAGTATATCTGTTTTTTTTATTAAACAACAGTACTATTAGGCCACTTAGTATGTTTTTTTCATAAGTTAGTTTCTGCGGACCTAAGATACTAATTGGTTACTCAGACCAAAATGGATTTCAAACTTACTGACTGAGCCCAATGCTTAAACAAGTTAACCATATTTCAAAGAGAAATAAACACAAGACAGAATGTATGCACATGGAGAGCAACTATAAGGTCATAAGATATCCTACCACTAGGAAACACAATCGTAACATACGATAATTTAGGTAATCTAGCCTATGTGAGAAGTGACTGTGTATTCCAAGACGCACACCACTAGGTCAGTGTGTATGCAGTCCAGAATGAAACATGGTGATTTCAGTATTACAACCTACGAACAACAAGCCAAGTGGGAGCAATTAAGAGATTATACGTAAGGCTAAGTGAATAATCAGAGTGCACAAAATTTCACAGATACTACTTATCAACAATTAAAATATAAATATAAACTTATTCTCATTAAAAACAAAAACACCCACATTATTTATAATATAAGGTCCGTAAAACACAAAAGTTTAATCAATAAGACTGAAGTTCAGGAATATAAACACAAGTGAACGGAGAGATCCTTTATATTACACCAAATATTAAATTATAGAAGTTCAATAGCAGCCAGTAAAATGAGCAGTTTATACGCTTAAGCAGAAGTTAGCCATTAAAAATAGGATGATACAGCGTCTAGAATCAGACAAAATTTTTAGATGTAGATGACCACATTTCCCAATGACGAGTAGATACACTGAGGTAAATCGAAAGGATGAACTAGTTGGGAGGTATGTAAAACTGAAATAGTTGTCAAATCATAAAAGTGGACAAGAAGACAGTAGCAGTCAAGCCCAGTAGTCTATGACGAGACCAGAAACACTTAAAGTCGTTAGAATGTGTGATTAATTTATGAGTGGTACGAAAATTTCTGTTATTTGAGCTGAAAAGGCTGTCTAGAAGTACAGTAAGACTATTCATTTTGAAGAAAATAAAACTGACGAAGTTTTCCACTTGTTACAACAAAATTAAGGCATAAATTAACACCTCTTTTACTTACACACTAGCGCGTAAATATGATACCAGGATGTATTGAGCATACTGACACATTAATGTTAGAACTTTTCTCAAAGAAATAATGTCACTTGTGAAAAAACACATAAATGTAAGTTCTACGTCAACTTGTGATATGGTTTTATTGTAAAGTTCTATTGAAAATCTTGTTAAACGCATAAACCTTTACTTAATAATTCTACTACCTTATTTTCATGTGACTTTTACTTATAATTATGGTAAATTGTATGTTTACAACATACAAGTGAATAATTTATTCAGATAATTGGCATATATCTCAAGTTCAAAGTGCTCATGATGATCACTTATCGTATTTTGCAAAGTAATCAGAAATATTTGAAAACAAAACAACAGTTAAGCTTACCCAGCTCTTGACGCGAATGTCTGCCATTTACATCAGTGTGACTGTTTGTTTCATTGACTTCAGTAAACTCAGATCTTCTTTTAGTACTACCAACACCATTTGAAAATGAAAGCCGGTAATTTGGCCGCTTAGTTAGTCCAGGTCTCGCTTGCGTGAAACCCCTGGCTCTTGATGTAATTGCAACATAATTTTGGCTGCTAGAGCAAGGTATCTCTGAAAAGCTCACATTTGTAGCCGGTGGTATGAAGGACTGTTGATGATAGGGTGTACTAGTTTGTGTCGCAGCAGCAGCCGCAGCTGCGGCTGCAGCAGCAACTGACACTAAACTAGTGACCTGTTGAAGTTCATTTTGCCAACGATTAGGATGCTGAGATGTCGGTAGTACCTGTGGCCAATGTTGCTGTAATGAATGCTGGTTAGCAAAAACATTATTTTGACGAAAACTTTCAGGGTTGCGAGCATCCAAAGATCTGACAAACCGATGGTTAGTCATTTCACACATATTGGGAAGATTAGAAGATGAATGCACTGATAATCCGTTAGAAAAATGACCATTCCTTGATGAAGTACAATATCGACGAGGAAATCCTGCTGATCCAGAAGAAGTTCGTCGTCTTTTTGGGGTAGGCTGCAGAAGTACGTAGTCAGGTTGCTACAATATAAATCATTAAAAAAGGATGTTACAGAAATATTCTTTACTGGTGACTTGTGTAATACGCTAGATATATTTCTCACAGAAGTGAGTGGACACGTACAGTAATGACAGAGGCTCAGTAGGGCTGTAAAGCTAAATTGATCAAGGTGGATGGGACACGTCATGCATGCCAAGCTATCGCCCTGCTGGATGAGCAATATTAGCTGACATTAGATTGAAATGAAAAAAGTTAGGGATAGTCAAACCAAAGTATAACATCCATGATGTCCTTGACTGTTGCGGTGAGTCACGCAGGGAGATTTAGACTGCCTAGCTAGAGTCCCGAGTCGCTAAGATGAAGTGACTAGGCACCATTGATGAAATAGTTCAAAATTGTTGTTAGTGACGCAGATGCATTAAATCTTTGTAATTTCCTAGATCCATTAAATACTCGTGATTCCTCATGGAACTATCCTACCTCCCGCCTAATTACAATTTATTTTTTATTTGCATATTTTCCTCTGCCTTTATGTATGCTTTTATGAAGTGTGGCAACTTCAACTGTTGCACTTTTGTGCACTTTGCATATCTATAAACATACGACAATACTTTTCAACAATTGAATGGCTCTGAAACGATATTAAACAGATCCATTATTACAGACATGTAGTTAAAATTTGTGTGTAACCAATTGAAGGCCTTTACTTGCTAAAGATAAGTTTTTTTAAACCAACTGTGCTCTTTACGTCTTAAGTGGTACTGCATGCATGAAAGCGTATATGTTGATGCAACTGGTAAATGTAAATAAGCTAGACGAATAGCATAAATACGTAATCATCAATGATCGTATGGTATGAGCAACTTCAAGGTAAGAATATTATATCGCTACTTAAATAAGTCGAGCTAAATGTTTTTATGATACTTACTCTGAAATCAGGACACCATGTTCCTGAAACAGGAAGTGTAAGACCACGGTTGAGCACTGTGGAAAGAAAAAAAGCATTAGAACAGTTGAAAGCAACGAAAGATGGCAAACGAAAAATATAAAATGAGAGATATTTTCATTTCAACGCTTCTAGTAAGTAGCTATAAAGAAAATGAAAGTTACTCAGTAACGAAGTGCATTTTATATACCTGTTATTTGGAGGCTGTTGATACGACCTGGGTGTCTAAACCTGAACAGGTAAAGTGGTATTCACACTTATGAAACACTGGCTGAAGGTTTTAATTCTAAATCGGTGACCCATGAACTGCTGGCGAAACTCGATAATCAGACACCTTAAAATTTGGAGTCGATTTTCTCAACGACTCCGTTTTCAATACTAGTTCATGTTTGAGATTGTTTTCAGAGAAAAAGATATCTTGATATTCAAGCTTCTAAATCGCTTTACAATAACTGTCATCCATTCATCCGAAGATGTAAATAGTGATATTAGTAGTATTATTATAAAGTGCTGTACGGACGTGATTACTATCAATTTCCACTTCTGCATGCTAAGAATACCTGAAACGACGCAGACCCTTTCTCTTAACTTCAAAAATAAGCGATGTGTGCTGTACAGAACCAGAGTGAACTTCGTAAGAGACATTGAGCGAATCGCAAAGAAAAATCTAATATCATTTCAATTTTTCTGAAGAAGCAAAAACTACGATGTGAAGTCAATCTACTTTAAATGCTAATCTAACCTCGACCCTTTGGAATTTGTGCAGAAAAATCTTGCATTCAACGTAAAATCCTAAGATGTTCAGCACTGTAGTGCCTGTTTTAGAGTTTGAAGGACTGGATTAACGTTGTTGTATGGTGATTGAACTTTTACAAAAATGAAGGCAGGTTACAGACTATGTCCGAACTGAAGTTTGTTGGTTAACGGGACCATATTTAGTTTAAACGACAGTAATATGCCTCAATCGGATTACATCACACAAAAATTGAGTGAAAGCCAATGATACCGATTTGATTCGATATTTACAGCAGTAAGAAAATGTTACGACTTCTCGGGCAAATAAGAGCTCATCGGAGAATCAACGCTTAGGAAGTGAGTACACCACAAGGAAAAAATCATCTACACCAAAGAATACAAAAGACTCCATTAGCAAATAACTTACTTCTGTTGAGAGTAAGAGAGTTAGATGCTAATTCACTATAATGCAACGTCCGATCTGCATGGTGATTACATCTTCGAGTCGACATCTGATCAGCAAAAGAACTGACTTGCTCTCCAATGTATACATTTTGCTCAGAAGGCGTATGCATTCTGAGGGATCTTCTTGCTAAAAGCAAACAGATAACTCACCAAATAAACCAATAAAACTTTAAAAAAGTGAAGTTAAATTAAAAGCCTCAGAATTCCTAAGACGACTAACGACTACAAATCAACCGTGTGCTAGCATTACTCCCAAACAAAACTTGACTATTCCACTAGAATATTATGGCATTCCTATTAGTCACTTAGCTTCCGACAGAGCCCTGAGTTTTGGGGGAGATTTCGAGGTTTTCGGGGCAACTAAACGCAAAAATTTTGGAGAAATGCATCACATCTCACCTAAAAGCCCAAAGTGTGCCCCAGTTTATTTATTGACAGTATTATCGGCAAGCATTTGACTGCTCACATGATACACATACTGTGCAACACACGAGTCCACCACTTCCAAAAAACTGTGTAACCATGAAACAGAACTTCCTAGAAATCTGGATATAAGTTAGTTTTACGAGTTCACAAATATTAAGGCGTCTGTAACTAGTTAGGCTAATAAACATAGACGGCTATCTACAATAATTCCAATTAACTTTAGCACTTAATCCTGTTAGATGAATGGAACAATGCGTTGTGCAGAACAAGTAGCTTCCAATATAACAAGGCGGCTACGCTAGAATACCAACAAAGGTTGAGAATCAACAAACCAGTCTAAATTCAGTCTGGAGTGCCCCGCCAGACCTTGAATAGACACTATAACAAAATCTTCGAACAAACGGGATTCAACATCAGTGTCAGAGCTAATTAAACATTTGGGGCTGTACTGTACTATATGCAGAATCCAATGTATTTCTGAGAGCCTTGTATAAAACTTTTAATTTTTTGGAGCTCGCCTGCTGCTTAGGAATGTTTCCAAGTCTTTGGCTTACTCCAGTCCACAATTTCACTCTACCTCACCTCCAGCTGCTACAGCTCTTCAAGGCGTAATAGGAGGTGCATTAATATAATTAAAAGAAAGTGTATGATTTATGCTGAAAGACTGAGGGTGGTAGAACTCTCAAATTATATTTCTCAAGGAAATCCTCAAATAATGTCAACAAACTCTAGAGAAGGTGGCACTAAGACAGTGAGAAGGTAATCAAGACAGACAGCATATAGGTTTGTAAATTAACCTATGGTTGAGATGGACTGCTGATTGTACTGAGTTGATTCCTCAGAGATCACTTAGTACATCTCCCTCATACTCGTCTAAACGGAGGAGCATATTCATTAGTGAAGTTCAACTTGGTACTGATCTGATTATCATCTCTGTTTTGGTTTATCGGGCTTCATTGTCGGCCACTGAGAACGTGATCTTCCGAAAAATAATAGATGTACAGACAGTTTGGATCGCTCTTCTGTTTAGATTAGTTTATGATAATGATGGAATAACTAAACAGTTTCCTTTTAGAACTGAAGCAGTCATATTATTACTTTCTTTTTGTCTCTTTAAAAATCTTTACTCTGTCCTGCCCCCGTTCGTTCCATCAAGCTACAGCACTCTCTGAATCTTACTGTTTATTTAGTACTGTAGGATTTATGGTCCCATTGGGCGAGGTATGCGGACACCGGTTATATGGATGGAATTCAGAGATTCTCTTGCCACTTCGATGTCATCTTTAAGTACTATATTCTCAGCGAGTGGCGTTGTTACAGCGTCCTGACTAGAATCTAACTAACTGAGGAATTTCACCCCATTCTGAGGTTGGTTTGACTGAGGCCTTAAAGAAATTTAGTTCTGAGTTACTTGTGTGTAATAAACGTTACTATAAATTCTTTTATTGGGCACAGTTGTATTAGCACTACGAAACAGTGGGTACTGACCTCTGTAAAGGAAGATTTGACCATATTAGAGTTGTGAAGTCAGTGGCATTATTATTCATCCCTTGTATTATGGGTGGAACATAGGACTTGGGTGGCATGTCTTTATTTCATTCAGTTCTCCAATCCCTTTTAGCTGGTCGCAGAGCTTACATTTCCACCTCATGTAATCTCCTCCATGACATGCACGGACAACTAACCCATCATGTCCCACACAGGTTCCACTCGGCAAACCGCATTGTGCGTATTACTGAGCGGCGGCCTCCTCAGCGTATACCCATTTCCTCATTTCCTTCTGCATATTTCTTGGACTGTTGGTTCTCGGATTGTCCGCTGACATATTTCCCTGTTGCTAATCATCTAGTCTCCAGCGCAGAGTGGTGGCAACAGTTGGTGAAAGTATTTATTCTGCTGAGTAACTCACGCCAATTCTCCGGAACATACAAGACCACTGATTTGACATAAGGAATGGAAATTCGAGTGTCGCTACTTACAATGAGTTTTACAGACACGGAAGTTGATTTCAGAGTACCTTACTCATGTTTTACTTTCCCTATCCTGTCTATGACATTCCTGTGCAACCATTCGTGTAGTTAAATTGATGCTATTCGTGCAAGTGGAAGAAACAATTTCCTCGGGAATTCTCTCCCCTACGGTGACTGGTGCATGTTGTTGTTGGTCGTATATCTTCACCATCTCGTCTTCTCCATGTTCACCTGAAGTCCCATCTTCTCTGCCAAACACTTCTACTGACTTGTTGATTGTTTCCCTTAAACTTTCTAGTTTGTGTGACATTAAAGATAAATCATCGCTTTCTCTTAAATCACCCCCAATGTCTAGATCTTATGGGATAATTTTGTCAATCCGACTTATTCCTACCTTCTCACTCCCACTGGCCTGTTGAATGGTCCTGCCCACTGTAATTAGAAAAATCATTTACGATGGCATATAATCTTGTCTTACTTTTGTCTTCAACTAGATGGCTTCACTAAATTTTTTTATTTTGTTTTTTGATTACAGCTTGATGCCACAACGTATTTTCAGTACAAGTATGGAATTTTCAGCATGGATATCGGTAGCCCAAATTTTGCAGGCCGACCATAGATATCGGGTGTGCGTCGGCAGGGGATCGAACCCCAGACCATGTGCATGGTCGGCGAGAGTCCTAACCACTGTGCCACCGACGCACAAGTGGGGTGCGTCGGCCGGGAACTAAATATTCTGTAGTGTACATTGAACCTTTGAACTTTTGTTTGAATGGACTCACCTGACCTTTAGCACTACTTCCTCTTTCGATTCGTGAAACTCTTGTACGTCTTTGGTTCGCTCTCTCGTTGTGCTTTCCTCTGGCGCACTCTCCGAGCCTACCACAGTCAAGATTGCAGATAAGTGTGTAACCTTATTTCTTGTCAAATTACATATCTCCTTTGTGTAAATACAATTCTGTTCCAGACACACTTGCCATCTGAAGTCTTTTAACCTTGGTTCCGTTCGTTAGTACTTGCACGTTAGGCAGAGTGCGATTAAGGTCATAAGCAGTGAAGAAGTTTTGTAAGGGTGGTTATTTTCGGTCTAAGTTAACCCAAGCCTAACTCTTACAATTCCTTCATGAATCACTTAATATATGATACCGTCACAGAGTTACTGAATGAGGTTTGGATAGGACTACAGTGATGCATTCCGTGATCTTCCCTCCAGAAAGTGGTTTAGTTCTAATGTTTTACTTAAAGTGGACAGGAGAATGGTTCTACGCCACTTATTGTATAAGCTTAAGTGCTTTTCTTTGGTTGTTTGGCTAGCTAGCTCTTCGTCGAATCGGTAAGTGCACTTCCTCCCCAATAAACCCTATGTGGTTAAATGACGAGCACTGGTAGCTTGTAAACAATGGAGATCCCTGACGCTTTCCGTCCGTGCCGGATGTAGTGAGCTTAATCAATAGGCATCTGTTTTTCTCACAATTGTAGAATATTTTGCTACCGACTCATTTATTTTTATCTTTCTTTTGCCCCAGTTGAGTAAGTTTTCCCTCCATCTGTTCATCAAATGATGTTTTCCCATCTACGTTGAAACCATTCAGGCTTCTTCACCGTTTTAAACCGAAATCAGTACTGTAGAACAAGCTGACCTGTAAGATGTCTCACGAATTTCTGTAGGGCCCACGGTTTAGCATCTTCACAAGAAGCTGAAGAGGCTTGTAGATGGATAACCGAAAGCAATTTTTAAAATAATTTAGATCTGTATAACCCTTAGTTTTCTTTCTTTGTTAAGGATCTAGACTAATGTTTAATTCTCGAGCTAGCAAAATTGCATTTTGCTGTCCTACAGATCGTAGCGATTCACATTTGTGACCAATACCGTAACTGCTGATCAACACGCGCCACCCTCCCTCCTTACCCTACCAGTTTTTAAACCCGAAGACCCACATCTTGGGTCCTCTTGAATGGAACACTACCTTGCTGCCAATAAACTATCTTCTCAGGAAGCTAAATGCGGAAAATCGAGTACTGAACTATCAGGCGAAGTCGCTGGACAAGTACGTGAATACGACGTTCATCCCAGAATGGAATGATTGTACTATATATTATTATTATATTACTGCAGGTTGAAAGGCAAGGTACCACGCTGCATGTTTTATCTCCGAAAGGAAAGCACTAGGCCGCTTGTTAAGCAGCGTTGAATTATTGATCAGACACTTTCCCAACTCATGAGGCACATGCGAAGCTCCGTAGCGTGTAGGAAAATCGATAAATAACCTCCCAACCAAATCTGTCTACGACGACTGCACATTAACATCCAAATAGTCATTGCCTTTGGAGATGACGATATCAGTATTAATGAGCTCGCCAAAATTGCTGACAGCATATATGAGAGGTCAGTGCCTCACGCTGTTGCTTCAACGAAACAGGTGTAGACAACAATGGACGTCAATGTTTACGTCCCAAATCGAGGTCATGGAAAAGAAAACAAGAACAAAGCATAACGTTAAGGAACTCGACAACCGATCACAGCAGACTTAGCGTGGGCGGATACGATTCGCAGATATATCACCGGACTGTAAGAAACGGCCACAAACAGATGACAGAATAACGTTCAGCAGGAAAACAACCAATCAGAAGTCGTTGCCTCTCTGCTAACAATGACGAATAATAATGTACATAAAAATCTATAAATATCTGTTTATGTTCTCAATAAACGATCTGTTGCCTGGCCCTTGTCTTCTGTCGTTACACAGGTACCAGACAACCAAGACTGTACGCAGAATTTGGAGCATGAGGCTGACGCTTTACTCTACCAGTTAGCATCACTAACCACATGCATTCCATCGAGCCTTTCTAGAAGTCCATTTCATAGCCACTGCTCTCTGACACCTAGCGGAGATTTTGGTAACATTTGTTGATACCACCATACTTATGGATGCCGTACAAGACGTCTCCTTCTTCCTTTTAATTTTCATTGTAAATCAGAGGATATATCGGCGTTCGTCACTTCTGACATCAGCAATCAGCCATCCAGTGGTCGTTCATTTGTATAAGAGATTAAACTATGGTTACTTCATTCCTGTTTAACACAGGGGTAGAGGTGGGTATTCTTCCTCTGCCTACACATGAGCGTCAGCCTGCTGACCTAACGATAACATTGCAAGCTGTTCGCAAGTCCAGGATTGCTGCGTATGGACGTAAACAAATGACTTTGGGTCACCAGAATGCCTTTAGTCGGCCATTCATCATCACTGATAGCACACCATCCATTTCGGACATTTATTTCTTACGTTAACACAAGTTTCTGGTGAACCTTATAAGTCCCAAGTTGATCGACTTCCCTAGTAAGGCATACATCACAGGTGCAACCAGTCGGGCATCATTTTCGAACCTGATGGCCACACCTGCACCAGGATCTCCGTATAGGGAGATTGAGTCAGTTTCTTAATCTTCTTCAAACTTCTTTTCGAGAAATCTAACTGAAGCATCCCATTGTTAGTTATATTAAAAGTACCGGACCACCAGTGTTGCATGCCCTCGACGTTTTGACCCACTCCGATGTGGCGACGCAAAGGCAAAATCTGTTAGAACACCAGGGCTAGACATCATTTGGCCGTCTACTAGCTCCTGGTCTTCACTATTTTACATGGTTCCAAAAAGGTCTTCTGGTCAGGTGAGGCCTTGAGGTGATGACCAGGCTTTAAACAAACAAACAAACAGTGCCTGATAGATAACTATAACCCCATTAGCACGACTTCACCAGCAGTTCTTCAGGTTTTAAAATTTACCTCTAAACTGACTTTGTAAGACCTATCATCACATTCCAATCCATCCCAACGACCCACCGAATGTCATCACTTGCACACCATTTCGCTTATTCGAATCTGTCCGCTTGCTTTTTGGCCTAATGAACGCTTTACGGAAATCTCAACGCCTACTCGATCAATTTCTGTGTGGTCTTTCTTTCGTCCATGCATACGTTAATATCTTACTTATTGCAAGAGCAGATAAGGCTGAACACTTGCGACGTACAAAGACTGTATTGGAAAGATCTCACTAGTGTGGGATGACCATCAACTTATATGAATGTGAAATCTGGAAGACGCAGTTGGAATTCTTCGAGTATTCGGTCGTTAGTCAAAAATATATACCAGTCCCTGATGGCGCACAAACTGTTAAATTTTGTCCATTGCCTGACTTATTTAAGAAATTACGATGATTTTCAGGCTTCATCAGTTTTTACTGTCGTTTCATTCTTAAATTTGCTACTGTTTTGCTGCCGTTAACTGGCGGTTTACGAGGATTCGGCCGTGCGTCTCACTTGTCAGCTGAAGCTTATGAATTGTATGAGACTGTCAGGCACTTGTTAGTCGTAAATACACCCGTAGAAAAACCTGAAAACGATCCTCTTCTCCCCCTCATGTCAGATGCTTCGAACTTTGCCAATGGGGGCAGATCTACAACAACGAGTACCACGTGAATGGAAGTCCCTTGCATTCCTTTCAAAATAACTGAATCATACTCATTGTTGCTATAGCGCCTTTTGGTAAAGAGTTACTGGCTGTTTATTTAACTGTCAAACATTTTGACACATGCTGGAAGGCACAGCTTTTACTTTCTATGCGGATCGTAGAGCTCTTACTAAAGCCTTATCATCCAAACAAGATGACTACTCGCCTCGTGAACAACCACATCTTGAATTTATAACCCAGTTTACACCAGGTATTCAGTACGTAAAGGGTAACAACAATGAAGTTGCAGACGCTTCGTCATGTTTGCACATTAACAACATTGTATGTCAGGGTATTGATAACAAACATCTCGCAACCCTACTAAGAAATGATGGTGAACTAAAGAAGACTATCTCTTCCAAAATAGCGCCCTTAAAACCCACCGAAATTCACTATGGCACAATAAAAGTAGTCTGTTAAACTCCTACCGGTACATATCGACCTATTGTCTGAGCGGCCATGAGACGTATTATTTTCGAGAAACTGCATAATCTGTCACATTCTGGAGTTAGTACCACTACCGAACTGTTGAAGGAAAGATTTATATAGCCAAACATAAGCATAGATGCTGAGAAGTAGGCGCAAAGTTGCTTGTCTTGTCAAGATGGGTCGATACTCCGAAGCGCTGTTTGTTCGTTTTCCTAGCTCTGACTCAAGATTCAATCAAACGTAAATGTAAATCATCGACCCACTGCCTCCTCCCAATGGTTTCAGTTACGTTTTCAATTGCACTGGTAGATTCACTCATCATCCAGTCGCAGTTTTACTAGATGTATCTTCTGGAATAGATGCCAAAGCTCTGGCCGTAAACTGGGTGACGAACTTTAGTATCGCCACAGACAGAGGTGCGCGGTTCGAAAGCCGTTTTTTCAACAGCCCTCTAAATTAGTGGGAATTAAATGAATACAAGCGATTTCGTATCACCCTATTTCTAATGGGATTGTTGAATGATTCCGCCGGCAACTTAAGACTGAGCTTTCTGCCTCTCTAACTAGAAATGACTGGTCCACCGAAATTCCACTAGCACCATAGGGTATGCCAGCAACTTTAAAGAAGGATACTGGATGCTACGTTTCCGAGTAAGTTGTAAATGTGAGGCGGTGGCTACTAGTAGTTTTAGATTTTTATGGACAGTACATAAGGCGTCTACTAGAATCACCAGTGACATGATGGTGAGGTCAGGACTAGAAAGTTGCATCCAGGTGGCAAATCCTTGTCTTAAAAGGGACTCATCCCCTTTAGGATTGGTCCGAAGGAAGGCAATACATTTGATTATTGTCTAAACCACCTTATCATACAACGAAAGACTGGACAGTTTCAATATCTCCTCACTGTCATAACGCAGGCAGAAAGGAAATCACATTCAAATATTTGAAATTTGAAATAACGTTCACTGTGGAGTACTAGTTCTCAAACTGAGTCTTGAACCGAAGTGGTATCAGAGCCCTCAGTTGATTCGTTCAAGAAGGGTTTGAACAAGTACAGAAATTTATTGGAAGAGCATTATTACAGGCTTCAAGTCTTCTGTTCCCAGTCAATAAATCTAAATCTGGATTTATGGGACCGACTTCATCCAAATCGATGAGTCGGCTGCTATATCTAGCCCTGAGGAACAGCGATTTTGTGAAATACCTACATCTTCGTGAAGAGGAAGAGTTACATTAAGCAATCTGTCAAACATTTGGACCCATGTTTTCATTCTAACTTAGTTAACCGCCTCAGAACTAGTAGTGCTGTTATTCGACAGCATCTCTGTAGTTTAATTTTGCAGAAAGATTAGGGGATTGTTCTTCCTTAATTGGAAAATATAAATTTCTAACAGTTGTACTTTCGCACAGTATAATTTCGCCCTTTCAATATCGATGACGTGCGCGTTTCCATTGTCAAGGTCGCGGTATTCACGTGTTGCTTTATAAAGATGGTTAGGAAATGCTTAAGTAGGTGTTGTTTCAGCTTTCATAACTTTATGCTTAGAACACAAAAGTAAGAGAGTCACTTGCCACAAGAAATACAAGATTATTAAGAAGGTAAATTCAAAAATATATATGAGATAGCTGCCTAGGTGAAAGAACACCATCGGAAACTACGTAAGGAAGCGAAAAAAAACTTAAACAGACAGAGTAGTAAGTGAAGTAGTGATTCCTTTTACAAACGAATAGAAAAAGATCCCGGCATTCCGAATATACTGCCATTCAAAGAGAGCATACTGAAGCATGTCGAAGAAACCAAGAATAAAGTAACTCATAATACCCTTTTAATCGGCTTAGTTAGAAGAGGCGAAACTTAGGAATTTCGAATACTTGAAAAAACAAAATCTTCGTGAAAAAGATGTTGGTAATATGGCGGACGCGGTAGTCCAACATGATGTTAAGGACGTTATTAACCAATCCGACGTTGTTCTTGAAGTCTTAGATGCTCGTGATCCTATGGGCACTAGATGTTTAGAGATAGAGAAGATGGTTGCGAATGAAAACAAGCGTCTTGTACTACTTGTCAACAAAATAGGTATGTCCTGTTTATTTTTTATGTGTTCAGATCTTGTTCCACGGCCCAATCTTGATGCCTGGTTAAATTATCTGCGACGTTCTCATACAGTTATACCATTTAAAGCCAATATACAACGTCAGAGTAACAATTTATCCTCCGGAAGGCCTTATATTGACAAGCATGGGAAGATGTAGGTTTCAAAATGTTTTCTTATTTTTTAGGCCCGCCAAAGGTTATGGAACTTCTGACTTACTGTCCTTGCTTGCAAACTACTCACGAGATTCAAGTTCTGAACTTTCTGACAAGGAAAGTCGGCTAAGTTTGACAGTCGGAGTTGTTGGTTTACCTAATACGGGCAAAAGTGCTCTCATAAATACACTAAAGCGGCAAAAAGTGTGTGCTAGTGGTAACGTTCCTGGTCTGACTCGGTAACTGTCATAATTTTCGTTATTGTCATTTTAGCCAATCACAGCGTGTCAGAATTGATAAAAACCTCTACCTACTTGATACTCCAGGAACTTTGGTTTCGAAAACGTCTGATACCTCAGATCTTGTTCTGAAAAATTGTGTTAAGGTAAAATCTTTTCTTAGTTATGTTTTTAATTTTAAATGATATTGTATGTCGCCGAGCTTTTTGTGTTCACATAACATTTGTTTTTCATGTTTCAATAGATATCAACTGCAAGTTTTTTGCAACGTCCACTACAGTTTGCTGGTTAAACCCTTAGGTTTTCAACTAATTTTACGACTTGACTCTTAGCCCATTATTGGTAAATCATTTTTCCAAGTACTTTGCAAAGTCTGCATAGTATGACAGCATATATTTTTGGTGCTATATCCTTAATAATTCCCAAATTTGTGTACGTCCTCTTTAACGGTAAACGCAATGATAACTTCATCTCGAGGTAATTAAACACAGTCTTCTGTAGATTCTTAGGCAATTAGTTTCATGACTAGCATCGATATGAAGTAGAAGTCAGGAGTAAGTTGTTTAAATCTAGGGAAATATAGAGTTAGGGTTCCTCTTCGTTATGTGTACTGATATTCACCAACCACTCGAATATGTTTACCTGGTATGCCAAGTAAACTAGATTTTCCCAGCGTTACAGATATCTTATTAGATTTGCTGGTCAGCATGTGATCTACTGCACAGATTGTGTCACTGTTACTAGTGGGTTACATGAGGGGAGACAACTTACTGTTGCTGGGTACTACTTATATCTCACTTGTGCATTATGACAATCGCTTATTAAGAGCCTGTAGTTAGTTCTGCGCGTGAACGCCCTTTATACTTGCATTTACTATCCACCACATTACAAGAAACTCGTAGAAATCCGGTATTTTTCAGCAGTGTTTTATAATGCTCGTGCAGTATAACTCGTCATTTTCATGGCATTTTATAGGCATTGGTCTTACTTTCTGAAAAATGATTGTATAATTGTGATTGGAGATAGGTTAGTTATCCTTCGATTGTAAATGTTACAGATCCCACTGCGTCATACTGTTAAAAATGACGATTTTGGTGATTACCAAAACGTAGGAAAAGGTAACACACTAAAGCATTTTAACAAACTACAATCCTGTGTACACCCATGTCATTGGTAGCTGATGACAATGTGATCTATTCGAGGCCATGCTTGAATTACAGAGGGATGACTCCAGGCTGTATGATGGGGATACATAGGCGGAGGGTTGTTAGTGCTAGATTTTTATAGGATGAGATGTGTAAGTGTGCAGTAATATGCGGTCAGCTAGTCTTCATTGACCACCTAATTGACTGACCGATGAGACCTCATATCTAGAAGTCACAATTCTTTGGTTTGTGGGTAGTGATCATGAAAAATGCCTCTTACTACCTAAATAACATTATAACTTTAAAGCAGTTTATGGTAGGTCAATTGAGTGTTTGCATCTAAAGGTCTAGCACAGCGACAGTGAAACTAATTAGACCCAACTTCAATGTTCCACAGTTTCAGGATAAGCGTATATGAGACCCGTTTGAGTTGACATATTCAGTTATTTGAAGTACTTCGAAATTTTCTTCATTTCCATTAGATATCTATATTATCTTAGTAGTCTTGTTTTGCGAGACACAAACGTCTCGTGAGATAGCATAACTGGTTTCTTGAAATTGCTTTAAAACATGCAGTTTCCTTACTCTATTCCAAACCAGTCAGCATGAATCACGGACATATGGCTTTTTCACTTAGACATGCGTTTAAGGTGCATGTGAGGTCATCCACTTGACCTTAAGTTAACAGAATAGTGAACTACTACTTCACACTTCAAAAAGCCAGGGATCTAGTAGATAGTTTTTATGAACTCATGGGTGTATTTATTGGACTAAGTCCTGAATCTAAAAGCACTTTGCTCATCTGAACACCAGCTGATTGTTTCATATATGCTATTCGTCTAAACATTAAACTCAAAAGTCCTTTTGTAACCTCTGTCTACTCACCCCACTGATTCTCTCTAGGATAATGTAACGAACGACTTCTTGAAAATGTTCAAATACCTTATGGAAGGTTGTAGGTCATGGATATACGCTCTTCATTCTTGTCCTTATAGACAACCACTTCCTGTGAGAAGTCAGATGTGGGAAAAGAAACTTTTATAAGCATACTTGTCATAAAGTTAAATAGGAACGTAAACAGTGGATACAGCCTTTTAAAAATCACGTGACTGTGTTGAAGATGTTTTCCGTACCTCCTAAATGGAATGTAGCACTGCAGGAGTTATTTGCATCGATACTTAGTCTGATCCCATGAATGATGTGGTTAATACTTTGGGTACTTTAGGTACCCGGCAAGTCTCATTAACCCTTGTCTGACTGACTGACTGGTTTTAACATAGAACTTTGCACCGATGTGCAGCAGTTTCGAGTCGCCACACTTCATTTAGCACACAAAGCAAGAGAATAAAGTAAAAAGAAATTCAAAACAGACAGTATACAGAGATGAGGCAAAAAGAATAGTAATATCGAAGAACAATATAGTTTTATTGGGTATTATAAGTCACAAAGAGTGGATGCATCTGCACCAGCCATTGAGAACGATTTTGAACCATATCACCAATTGTCTCCAGCCATTGGTTTTTACCGTCCCGAGGACCCCAACTAGGAAGTCTACACCTTCCTAAGTGGTTTAAACTAACTGTTGTGGATTTCATTGACTGGTGAAGCTATGTTGTGGTTTGAACACCACTAGCTCTTTTCCAACCTAACCCTATGTCAGGTAACATTGCCTGTTGTCGAGGAAGACGATGACTAGGTATACGTAACACATGTCCTAACCATCTCAGTCGATGTAGCTTCACAACCCTGTCGATTGATTTCCCCTCCTTACCTAGCACTCGACGCCTAATCTCAATATTGCTCACCCTATTATACCATTTCATACGGGAGATAGAACGCATGCACCTATGATCAAAGACAGCTGAGCAGTTCACATGCCCTTTGATCGATAGCCAACCGGATATCACGTCTACTAAGCTAGAGATGGCGTAAGTTGGCACAGAAGTTGTTATACGTCAGAAAGCATACGTGAAAGAGGGCGCCAAATGTTGCAAACCTTTGAATTCTATGGTTCAGTAGATTTGGTACCCACTGGGTGGTAGGTCCAAACCTCATCCACCTACCTGGGTTAGCTCATCGACGTAATATTATTGTTAACGCCTATACAGTGGGTGTTGCTGGTAAATGCAAGTAGTTGCTGAGTAACATTTTTATCTACTTCCTTTGGAAAAGACGTCCACCAAGAGCCAATGGACAACAAGCGTAGTAATTCCTTAAACAGATCGTCATATTTACTGGTGAACAATATAAAGTATTAATCTTAAGTGAATAATTTCATCAATTTTTCTGTACCACTTTTTGCATGTACACTAATCAGTAGCACGGGATGAACTGAAGCGTAAGTTTGTTTGTCCCCCGTCTTAAATCCATAGTACCTGATTTTGGTTTTTCTGAAAAGACATTTCGAATAGTAACTGACTTCATATTTATTTATTTTTTTTTGATAGCCCGAACTACTTCCTGATCCTGTCCCAGCTGTCGAAGCAATATTACGTCGTTGTTCAAAAGACCAACTGATGTCTAAATATAATATTGAGGATTATGTTGATGTTTCCGATTTTCTAGTAAAGTTAGCACGCCGTATGGGTCGAATGAAAAAAGGTGGTGTTCCGGATATCGTTATGAGTGCACGTGGCTTAATCAATGATTGGATTACGTAAGTCAATCTATTTCGTGATAGTTTTTTGTTTCAGTGGAAAAGTCACTTACTACACCGAGCCTCCATGTGAAGACAATGCAGTGGAAAATAATTCTGACTTATTATCTAAATGTAAGTACATATGAGACATTGATTAACTGTTTTATTCAATTTATTGAGAAACTTAGTTTAATTGTTTTCTTTCTGGCGAGGCTTATAATACTGTGTAATGCGTTTAGAAACTTTTGACAAATGGAGACCTAACGGATTGTATTACCCAAACTTGATGTATTCTATAGTTGTACATGCGAACACTAGTTTCGCGACTTACTTTCACTTCTCTCTATCTGGCTAATTTAGTTTTGAAACGGTTTTTATAATCATTCCAATGGTGATAAGAGCTTCACAATTAAACATCTTTTACACTTTTTCATTTAGAACATCGCCAAAGTACATATTTACAGTTTCACATAATTACTTCGATGAAAGCACTTGATTCTCCTTCATTATGATCATGTGGTTTTCATTACTTTTCAAAGGTTTCAAGAAACACTTCAAAATACTCTCAGTGTATTGACTCATAGGTATAAATTGATGTCCATCCTTATACGAAATCCAATTTAATGGGTCTTGATTGCTTGTATTTGGATTTTTATACTGAATCTTACTAGTATTGTAACGACAGAAGACAAGGGCCAGGCAACAGATCGTTTATTGAGAACATCAACAGATATTTATAGATTTTTATGTACATTATTATTCGTCATTGTTAGCAGAGAAGCAGCGTCTTCTTATTGGTTGTTTTCCTGCTGCAGTTTATTCTGTCATCTGTTTGTGGCCGTTTCTTCAACAGTCCGTTGATATATCTGTGCATCGTATCCGCCCACGCTAAGTCTGCTGTGGATGGTTGTTGAGTTCCTCAACGTTAGGCTTTGTTCTTGTTTTTTTCATGACCCCGATTTGGGACGTAAACATTGACGTAAATTGCTGTCTACCCATTTTGGCTAGCAGACAGCTCTCACCACAGTATTAGTCATATAATAATAAGTGGGCTATTTCTTTCTCATCAAGTACAATCGATTCTAGTAACTACTTGTCCACTTGCTCATAATGTTCAAATGTGATAACTAATCTTTAGTTCCAAGGTAGCGAGTTCAATGTGAATGTCCAAATTTCAAGAAAATAAATAAAGGGTGTAGGTGGTGAGTAATAGTAATCAAATAAGATCTGTCCTGTTGTGCAACCACTCTATGTTTTCCGGCTTATATATACCAATGTAGCATCACGGTACGCTTTGACAGACAAAATCCAGAATCATTTCTGTGTAATTATTCCTTGGGCGGTTGTAGACGCACGTAGCTTCAGTAAAAAGCAGTTTTAGTGATGTCAGTTTTCCGAAGACTATGTGATGGACACTGACGTAGACATCATAGAAGTTGTGATATTTGAAAGTCATCAGGACGCATGTAATTCAATAAAAGGAATAAAAGATGCTTGGTACGGTCACACTAAGATTAGTACTCTGCCAAATTGATTTCAGCGTTTGAATATCTGCTACCGAGTTCTAAGTTTTAAACAGTGTCCCTAATAGTATCGTAAGCCCTTTAAAATATCTGACTGTGCAGAATAAAACAACTGGGTAATTATAGTACAATATATCGTATCTCTTATGGAAAAAATTCTTAACAGTTTGGATTCATAACCGTCAGCTGTCGTTTTAATTCTACCTAAAGTTGATGTGTAAGCTTTTGTTTTCGCAGTTTCGGCACTATGAAGTGATCATATTCCTAGACGTCGATCAGAGACGTAACGTTGACTAACTAGTCCTGCGAGTGTCCTAGATTTAATAGAGTTGTAGACTGTAGTGTCACAAAACTGCTTAGCTATAATTGTATGAAGACTTTGTTGATGTTCATTTAAGGTAAAATCAAAACTGTACTGAAGGGGTTAGACCCAAAGACCACAAAAACTTGGCACAATGAGTATTTAAATGTGTCTCAGTGTTAAACTGAGATTTTCAACTGTTACTAAGTTCAAGTTGATCTGTTTTTCCCTTTGGTTGGGCTGTAATGCTCGGTCTTTGTTGATACTAATATGGAGGCACCAACTGTGTGAGGATTAACATGTTTGGTTGATTGATGGTGACTAGCAGCGGAATTTAAGATGCGCATTTCGTCTCAATGGGATTCGTCAGCATCCTGAATGAGCAGTGGTATTCTTGCTGGAAATGCAGATACATCTAACTGAAGAGTCCCAAGTAGGACGAAATGCGTATCTTAGATTCTGTCGCTAGTCGTCATCATTCAATTAACATGATACTGTTTTGCGACTACATCCAAAAGTACGGTGGAGTCCTGATGTTTGGTTTGTTTATTGAAGTGAAGTCTAAATTAGTAGTGTTTATTTTAAATTAACAAGTTCTCAGTATTAAATACTTAAGTCTGTTTTTAAATGCTTTTCAGGCCAGCCAATGGAAGTTACCGACGCATAAATTAATCAATAGACCAGTATATTTGTGACTGTAAATAAAAGCCTAAAAATGACTTTTGTTTGTTTCGTTACTTTTTTTTTCGAAAAAGGATGTATTAAGAAAATGCATTCAGAGATTGGAAAAATTGTTTGTGGCGCAAATATAATACAACTATAAAGATATTATAAAGTCTGATGAATGACTGACCGACTGGTTTCAACAAAGAACTTTGCACAGATGTGCACCAGTTCGAATTGCCACACTCCATGTAGCACACATAAAGCAAGAGAAGTGAGACAATTAACATAAGTGTGAGGCAAAACGAATAGTAATATGGAAGAACAGTAGAGTTTTATTGGATATCATAAATTACAAAGAGTAAATGCATCTGCGCCAGCCATTGAGAACGATTTTAAGCCATTTCATCAATTGTCTCCAGCCTTCATTGGTTCTTAGAATTTCGAGGATCCCAATCAGGCAGTCTACATCTTCGACTTTCCCTTCTTACCTGACACTTGACGCCAAACCTCAATATTACTCACCCTATCGTACCACCTAACATGGAAGATAGAAAGTGGACACCTTTAATGTCTTCCACTTTCAATGGTCATGTCTCATTCACAGCCATAAAGGAGGACGGAGTGGATTACTGAGCAGTACACACGTCCTTTTGTCGATAGCCAGCCGGATATCACGTCTACTAAGCCAAACGAGGCTTCTGTACCCGGGCTGAGATTTCGTTCAACTCGCTGGCGTTGGCTGATGAAACTTCGTGAATAAGTGAAGTGGTCAACACGTACTACTTCATTCCGTATATCTAAGCTAGGAATCGATGATGTCCAGTCTTTTAGCATCATCTTACATTTGGTGGGAGCGAATCGCATGCCAATCATTCGAGAATTGCTGCTCAGTTCAAGGTGTTGAGAAGACTCTGCTGGATTTTGTCAGCGTCTTCACCTGGAAGGACTATATCATCTGCATATTCCAAGTTAACGAGATTATTCCCTGATGGTAACAAGTCAATCCCTGAGTCACTGAAGTCAGCAGTTAAGGTTAATTTCATCAGTACATCAGTGATGAAATTAAATAGAAGTGGGCATCCTTGACGGACAACACTAGTTGTCACCACTTCAAATGACAACTCTCCATAAACTCTCACCTGGCTGCATGGGTTCGAGTAGAATGCCTTGATCAGTGCAATGTATTTTCTCGGCATTCCCTTCACAGTCAAACATCGCCATAGTACCTCTCGGCCGACGGAATTGAATGCCGCTTTTAGATCAACAAATATGACCACTGTTGGACGCCGACGGTAAGTTTGCCTATGTTTCGTTCCAGAATCTGTCGGAGGGTGAAGATATGATCAATACACCCTCTTCCTGGTTTAAAGCCTGCCTGGTTCTCTCGTGTTTATTCCTCCCGAAAACCACTTAGTCTACGCATTATTATTGAGCCTAGAAGGACTGTCATCCTCCTGATGAATACTTGATAGTAGAGTGGGTGTGAGTCCTTAAATTTGTATCATATATCGCAAATGATATTTCTGAAACTGCAAGTATTGTAGGATTCGTCTTTCGGGGCTAATACCTGAGGATTGCTGGATTTAGTGAGATCACATTCAAAAACTAATCATTTAGTAGATGCTAATCCCTTTACTTGGGCACTGTGATAGAGTATAACTCCACTATAGAGAACATTTATTTGATAAAGTCTCACAGTGTTAAACAGTAATATTTAGTGATCTCTTCATATTTTCCACCTTCAAAGTACATGTTTCAACCATAAAGTAGAATGTAGCGGACTGCTACGCGGTACACACACTGGGTAGTCTTTAACTAGATATCACGCCTGTGTTTGTATAACATTTAACGTAAACCGTTCGTGAAGTCCAAATCTTCCAGGGTTTCCCGTTGACCCAACATATCTCTGTCTTCTCGCTCCCCACGACGTGTCGCATGATCCATTCCATCACTATTAGGAAAATCATCGGTGATAGTAGGCATACCTGTCTTCACTTCAAAGGCATCCCTGTTTTCCATTGTGAATCACTTGACACGTGGCATCGTCATATAGCTCTTGAATGGGATTGTTAAATGTTTGGGGTACTCTGTAATGCTGAAGTAGTTTCCAAATAATTTCACATTGAACGCTGTCGAAGGCACGATAGAGATACGCAAGTTAACATTAAAGGGTGATGCAAATTAGTAAAGTTCCCGACGCATTGAAACACTCGATCTTTAAATGAGTAATTAGTGTAAACTAGTCTTGTATTTTACTGGAGAAATGGCGTGTCAAACATTCGGATTGTTACTGAAGTAATTATTAACACTTAAGTACATTCACCTGCACCATCTGTGTACTCTAGGTTGACAAGACCTTTTCCTCGTATTATGTCAGTCCGTGAAACAATGTGATCAGTAGTCATACTAGACGGGCTTCACTCCACATGACAGCTGTCTGTAGACAAGAACACCGCTGCGCTGAATAGTACATTATACTTTCTCGGTACTCTTCACAACCATATGTTGCTACACACTATATTTAGATTGATAGAGTCACATATCATCTTCTGGTCAGTAACCTAAGGTGGTCGCTCGTCCTCCTTTATGGCTGTGAGACCTGGCCATTGAGAGCAGAAGACATGAAAAGATTAGCTGTCTTCGATCATAGGTGTCTGCGTTCCATCTCCCGCGTGAAGTGGTATAATAAGGTGAGCAATATTGAGATTAGGCGTCGAGTGCTAGGTAAGGCGGGGAAATCAATCGATGAGACTGTGAAATTACATCGACTGAGATGGTTGGGACATGTGTTACGTATACCTAGTCATCGCCTTCCTCGACGGGCAATGTTAGCTGAAATGGGGTCAGGCTGGAAAAGAGCTAGCGGCAATCAAACCAAAACATGGCACCAGTCAGTGAAATCTACAACATTCAGTCTAAGCCAAGTAGGAAGGTGTAGACTTCCTGGTTGGGTCCCTGGGACGGTAAAAACCAATGGTTGGAAACAATTGGTGAAATGGCTCAAAATCGTTCTCAATGGCTGCAGATGCATCCACTCCTTATGACTTATAATTTCCAATCAAACTGTTTGGTTCTTCGTTATTACTATTCCTTTGTCTCACACCTCTGTTTACTGTCTCTAATATGCATTTCTCCTACTTTCTTCTCTTGCTTTGTGTGCTACATGGAGTGTGGCGACTTGAACTGCCGCACATCAGTGCAAAGTTCTATGTCGAAAACAGACAGACAGATCAAAGTAAGACGGCCCATGCAGTTTTTGCAAGAGTATGGAACCTAAGATATTAGTCAAGCTGATCCCCATGATTATCATCAAATGTTCCCTTTCTTATAATCTGGAGTGATTAACGATCTACACCATTCCAAATGAACGGTCTTGGGCTCCTACTCGTACACCCCTAAATCTAGGTAAAGATCCATCCGCATCATTCTTATACAGCTTTTAAATCATATCGATATCTACTTCTTTAGCGTTTCTGAGGTTAGAGAAATCTTTAGCAATGTTAGCTACATTTGGGTAGTAAACAAATTTAAGATGTTTGTACTGCTCCCCAGTATTCTCGAGCTATTTATATGCCATCTGTTTATGCCAACCCACCGTTGGTTTTTAAAGCCTCTTCACCAAATGAGCCCTGGATAGTTTATGGATATTACTCATTGTTGGTACTTACTATTGACTTCAGATTAACAGCAGTCTTCGCTGGTGTATTCATAGTAGACTGAGAATATCCCAGACTTCTCAGAATGAGCATTGCCGTCACATGTTTGGTTATTTCTTCTCTCTAATACAAAGTTGGCAGCGTGGGCTTAAGATTAGGTGAAGAAATTGTCTGGAAAAAATGTTATTTGTAAGATGAACGAAATAAAATGCAGGCGGATGACGAGAAGAACGTTATAGGCTAACAAAAGTAACGTAGGTAGTTGTCGATTTGGGCTGCCTTCACTGAATACTGTTAGATTACACTTTCGCTTAATTTGAACATGTAGTTAGCACTATTACTATGAACTAAGTACCTAGAATTAGTGCATGGTGGTCCAAGTTACTCCAATACATCTGCGCATTTACTATAAGATAATAGGAAGGAATGCAAATAATAACCGTCAAATACAGTTGTTTCGCGGAAATTTAAACATGTGTAATATTCTATCTTACAGCTAAAAAGAATGCAGTTTTATACAGTGATCTCTGCATTGCATCCTAGTTCAAATTGATTTTCCTCGTCTTCATTTTACTATGTTGTACTGGCTCGTACATAACTCGGTATATCTGTTAGTAATTCTGCCTCCGGATATTCACTAAGCGTAAGGAGTCACTGAATTTCAGAGCAGTGATCTGAAACTTCTGTTTTGAGCATCGCACAGTCTATCACCAGCAGAGCGCTTACTAGTCAGGATGAAGAAAAGAAACAACATCTGATGTACTGTTTTTATTACAATAAAATTCAATATGTGAAAAAGTACCCCCAAAGAATGATATCAGTAATAGGAGATGGAGTTCAAACGACAGACCAAATTCAGGAAGCTTGGATTACGTATACAACTCAAAATTGTGAAGCTTTCACGACTCGTCTAGAACAATGAAAGCTTCGCAATTTAGCGAATTGGCTCAGAAAAACAAACAAACATCTGCCACAGTTACAAATATTCTTTCATTGTTTACAACCCCAGACAAAATATAACGGATAACTGTGTGAAGTTATTTGAAACTCACAAAATATGGAGGTTAGACAAAAGTATAAATAGTAAAGTCTTTGAAATCATTTAGTCCAAGAAACTTTCTGTATATCAAAATGCTCAGTAAGCGTACTCAAGTAATTGTTAAATTCAATAATCCTTTGTTTATGTGATTTATCTGCTTTTGATAGCACAGACTCGAGAATACGTTTGTCTCTGCGCTTTTCCAATTCAATCTGTGATTTTGTTAAGCTGGTATTTATAGATTTGAGTTTCTTTGCATCTTTTCCAGTCTCCTCAGTTGCGTTGACTTCTGATGTTTCGACTGGAACATCGAGGTTAGTTGAAGCTACCTTCTTGCTGTGCTTTTTCTTCTTTCTGAAAAAGTTATTAAAAATGCAGCGCAACCTACTTTTTTATTCCCTGTCCAGATTTCAGCTTCAGTGAACTACACAACACTTCATCATACTCTGACATTTATGATATCGGTTGATTGGATAATTTGTTAAAATCCTGTTAAAACAACACGTAGAAACATTCAGTAACCAAATTAAAAATTGATGATCGAATGCACATTAATACTCTCTAGTATTTATACGCCTAGCATTTAGGCGAGAAGTATTTATAGAACTCCATTTGATAGCTTTGCCACCACAAAAGTGTACTACATAAAACAACACGCACTAAATGCTATTCAAGGGGGAAACAAATTACATAACATCAACACGGAAGTAATAACAGTAGCATAAATCAGTGCGTGCTAGGTTGTGCGCCGTCCTATGACTAGTTGCTTAAGCAGAAAGAGTTTGTGGAATTTCTACTCAGGAAATATTGGTTCACAGCTGACCGCACGGGAAGTAAATAAGCTAAGTAGAAAAAACTAATACAAAGAGAAAGACGGTAGGTATTTCACAATATCTTGGTGTCATTACTGCCAACTTCGAGTTTTATCGAATTATTTTCTGGTAGAAGATGGACCACAAGCCATTTCTACACACAAATTTCGGCAGGAAAGGGTGGAAATACCGTAAAACTAGTTCCTTTTAAACTTTCAGATGCTGAATATATAGCTCGAGTAGAGATCTCACTATGATTGTTCCCAGGGGAAAATTATACATGTCGCTATATAGTATTTAAGTCACGTAGACCTAGTAAGTGAGTACTAGTCTTTGACGTATTTATTTCCTATATACTTTTATTTACCCATGTCATATAATGTACAGCTCTCATGAATTTTTCATGCCGTTTGAAGCAATGAACTAAGCCTAGTATATGAAAACTGATTATTCTAATCGCTAAACATCAGGTGGGGCTGAGATCGTAAGACAAACTCATTGATGGAGTTTCAGTTCTCTATACATCGCGCGCCAGGCCTTCGAGTGGAACCCGAAAGGGAAGCGGCGAGTGGGACGTCCAAGGGTGACATGGAGGAGATCGTGTGAAGAAGAGTTGAAACAGTATGGACTAACATGAATGCAGGTGAAAAGTACATCAGAGGAGAGAAGCAAGTGGAGACGTGCAGTTGAAGCCCTATGTTCCACTAGGAACCCAAGGGAACAATAATAATAATAATAATACAAGTTCTCTCTCTCTAACTTGATATGATTATGAGCAGTTGTTTGTGCACGAAACGTCAACACTGTGTGATTTATCAAAATAAAATCTTAACTATAATGGAGTTATGCTCTACCACAGTGCTCAAGTTTTATACTTATTCTCTATACAATTTCTAGCAGGGAAGATGCAAAGGAAAGTTAGAATGGACAGATTTAAATCTACTTCACCTCATCCATTTACGGAGGAATCTCCAAAAAATGAAAACCACAACCTACCCTACAGTGAACTGTAGTTGGAGTTCAAAACTTCGACATAGACAAAAACAAATCTCAGAGTGCATATGACTGATCCTCTTTCCAAATAGCTTAAACCAAGGGGCAGCAAGTGACATCATTTATTTTGTTTTATAGAAACTTGGACAACTACCTCGTAGTTACTCACTCAGGAACACTTTATGGTTCACATATCTTGGTGTGCAACAGATCTCCAAACTACCATACCTAGATCTACGTAATTTAACAGAAGCGATTTACCATTGTACAGCTATTTGACTCTTACAAGTTATTTAGATGGATTAACACTGGTGTACAATTTTGGATGGATTAGAAATTTTCATCTGAATAGTTTAACCAAACACAGTTGGCTGTTTCAAACCAGATACTTCTCAATGTTAGCTGGAGTACTGTTGGGGTTCAGCCTTGGCCTATCGCTACCGCTCGTATTTAAAAAATAATAATCTCTACACATTTCTCAGTCATCGACTACAGTGTGAAGAAAACAAATGGACTCACAGATGTTTTCGTGACTTTAGTCATAACTACGAATGGAATATCGACATTTCTTCTCACTCAACATCGGAAAACTGAATCTAACTCCAATTAGTCCATAAGAGACACGCTTGTATCAAGATCGAGCTCGGAAAACTACTTCGGTGTCACACTACACTTTTACGTGGTTTCCCGATAGTCCAGAACATATCTGTGATAAGCTTGCCTAACTCTTGCTTTTCAAAGGCTTGCTTCTTGATATTAAGAAACAGATGCAGGACTTCGTTAAAGATAGTAGTGGATCGAGGTAAGTACTTGTTGAGCAACGAGGTATTAGTATGTTTTGCACGGGAGTTTGTAATACATTACAGGGCAGTGTTGGAAGAGGTGGTCGTCGTGTAACCAGGTTTATCCAGACTAGTTAAACTGAAAGATTTAGCAAGAACTAAAAAAGATGGGTTGATACCAGGTGGTAGCACGGAGGCTAGACTCAGGGTGAGAGGTACTACAGAACAGACAACAGTACAGAACGACTATAAAGGTGACAGTTGTGTTATCACTTAAGTAACTGAGACAGGTCTAATTGGATAGGCTCAATGTAGGCAACATTGTGCGGCAATTCAGTATTATCCTGAGGATTTTGACTGGGCGGGATAGTCTGAAATGTTTTTCAAAAAGGACATACTCGACGGGCAAAAACGAATCTGCTTCACCAAGATACCCACAATTTGATGAGTGACCTAGGCTGGGTTTTAAAACTCAGCTGATCAAATAAAGTAACCAATGGACTTCCGAACTACGGAAATGAGTCTCGTAATGTCTATTAATACTATTAGTAACTATCTCAAAGCGTACTCCGGATACTTGAACATGGTAATGATACGGCCTTAAACACTAATACTGCAATATAAGCATGCTTAAGCCATAGTATTCACAAGCAATGCAATGTATTTACAGGCCTTCAGAACCATACAACTTTGGGATCAAAAGACTGATTTGACATTTGCGCGCAGAAAACTTTCTAAAATTACAAGAAACTTTCAGTTCATTATTTTTGGCCCCAAACATTCTGCATTGCACCCGAAATCATTGATAGCTGGGTAAGCATATTAAATTATCAGTCGACTAAATCTTCTAGTGTTTTCGAGACTTTAAAACGCAAAACTAAAGAAGAACCTTGGTCAACTGCAGGCGACAGTGTAGATTTCTTGAAATTATGTCACCATAGTGACCAAGACCTCAAGCATTATAATGTCTGAAGTGTTCAAAGTGAGCTGAAATCCTACTTGGCTGTATTCTCCGTTCAAGAAAACCTACTGAAGCATTCAGAAGATATATAAGATTTGGGGTATTTAGTCGTTATAAAATTGAGTAAAACGTGCAGTGAACACCAACACACAAAATTGAGAAGACGTACCGAAAACTTTTGAATGAACCCGCTCTACTTCAGATTTGTTGAATGAAGTTAGAAGGACAGAAGCTTGTGCTAGTCTTGTAAATTATTTTAGTAAATTTCTGTGCTTTTCCAAGCCATTCTTTAATGAATCAATTGAAGTCACTGACACAACTTCTTCTGGGAGTCTGTCCTAGTTTATAACTGTATTGGAACGAGTACTCCACAACAATTTAGTTTTTCTTTGTTTTTGAACTCTCCGGCTATGTTCTCTAAGGTGTTCCAACCTGGTGAGAAGGAAAAAAGGAAAAAGTTGTAGTCATTATTTAAAATCTTAAACATTGTAATTAAATCTCCTCTCTGCCTACGGTATGCTAGGGAGAAGAGATATAAACTGTCTAGTCTTTCCTCTTATGATAAATAAGCCATGCCAGAAACCATGCGTTTTGCCCTCTTTTGAACCAATTCGAGAATTTATGAGTCCCTTTTAAGACAATGGCTGGCTACCTGGGTACAGTTTTACAGTCTTGACCTCACCAGAGATGTGTAGTGGTCGAAAACAACTCTACAACTAGCCGAGAAACCCTTAGGTATAGGAAAAGATATTATTCTCTGCGACATTTCCACTAGTACTCCTCGCCCTATCGTACCTAAAAGTTATCGCCATAATGTCTTCAATACGTTGCATGGCTTATCACACCCAGGTATTCGAACTACCGTCAAGCTCGTAACTAGTCGGTTTTGTTGGCCTGGTATTAATAAGGAAGTAAGGGAATGGACACACACGTGCTTAGCTTGCCAAAAGTGCAAGGTAATAAGACACACTAAAAGCTCCCTTGGCACCTTTCTTACCCCCGATGCCCGTTTCGAACACGTCCACATAGATTTAGTTGGCCCCCTTCCAGAATCTCATGGATATACCTATATGTTAACCTGCATCGATCGCTTCACACGATGGCCTGAAGCAGTACCCCTCAAGGATATATCTGCTGAAACCGTCGCACGAGTCCTTGTAGACCGATGGGTCGCAAACTTTGGATGCCCATCTTCCATAACAACTGATCGTGGGCGGCAATTCGAAAGCAGTTTATTCTTCGCTCTAACTAAAATCCTTGGTTGCATGCGTTTTCGAACAACAGCCTGCCATCCTCAAGCTAATGGTATGGTAGAACGTCTACACAGACAGTTAAAAGCTGGTTTATCAGCCGCAAATAACACCTGTTGGACTGAATCCCTTCCTTCAGTTCTCCTAGAGATACGAAACGCCTTAAAAACTGATGCTGGTTGTACTACCGCTGAGCTAGTATATGGAATGACACTACGACTGCCAGGTGAGCTTGTTTCCCCCTCAGGCTTCCCACCAGCAGTAGATCACTCCTCATACGTCAGTAGGCTTACAAACGCAATGCGTTCAGTTTAACCTGCTCCCCTCCGACCACAGTCCACTGATGTCTTCGTTCACCCCTGCTTAAAAACTTCTTCACACGTATTTGTTCGTCGCGACTCTGTGCGTCGCCCTCTAGAACCCCCGTATGACGAACCATATAAAGTAAATAAACGTACGGATAAATTCTTCGTCTTAGACAAGAAAGGCCGCGAAGACACCGTCATTATTGACTGTCTGAAACCGGCTTACTTGGAAGGTAATCCAATTAGCCTAGAGCTAAACGTACCCCATAATCCACAAGCAATCGAATCTCCTTTAGTCTTCGAAGAACTCCCTAGCACGGCGAAAGCCACTGAACCTTCGGTCGAACACTCTAAGAAAACGCGTCACGTTAGATTCCCAGAATACCTTCACACCTATTTCACATAACTGAGTGGTGCGTTTCCCCCAACTCATTATTTCTCTTCAGACACATCAATTTTTTTATGTAGCATCACTTTACACAAGTAAACGATTTTTTCCTATAACCGTACATTAAACATGCACTTAGAAAAAAAATTAAATTATATGTATATAAATGTTTTTCCCGATATTTTGAACTTTACATTATTTAACTGTATAGTAGATGCATGTCATGTTTTGGTAAAAAAACGCTTATTTGGTACATTTTCCTTGACAAGGTTCTTAGCATTCTTGTTTTCTTTTCCAGGTGCAACGGGCACTGGACAAGAAACAAACGAAGCACGGGATCCAACGAACAATATCGAGGAAGCTATGTACAGACATCCTATTAGCATAGGCAGACAGACCCCAAATTATTGACCACAGCAATCATCACTCAACATTGGATGCTGACCACCACTGTTTAAGTCGACTTGTTTAGCTGAAGGCTTACGGTCAAGCATCCCCGCCATTTGGTGCTCCGTCGTGTCACGTGCGTGCACGATTACTAGCTAGCTAAGCATTCACCTCTATCCGCGATTTTGTCCCGAAATATACTACGTACTTTGGACGACAAAATCTGGTCTTTTGCTTTATCTTTGGTACTCGAAGTGCGAACACTATAGAAGTTGTTGGTATAAGATCTTGCGTTAGTATAATCCGTACAATTAGCGAACGTCGATACCTGCAGCCTCTAAAGATGTATATAAGGAGGTGAATATATCTTTGGGGATTCTAGTAAAGGCTCTGCGAATTGTCCATAAGGACATGAAACTAAGTGCAGCCACCATGCGACAGTGTGCTGCAGTTTTCGAATCGTGATTTACTATGACACCTTAGTCCAAATGAGTCTAAGGTGATGGGGGCGTTATTCCCTCTAGTTCGTAAGGGTTGATATTTGCGTGTCCGATGCGCATGGTTGCACATTTCGCTACATTGATCGAGAGCATCCATTCCATGAACCAATCTGACATTTTGTTGAGGTCCCCCTGCGATGTGAGCGTATCACTGTCACCCTTCAGGTCTCTCCTGATTTTTAAGTCATCTGCGTATAGGACCACTGGGGAATCGTTGAGCAGAGATAACTCATTGATATGCAAAATAAATAAGAGAGTTCCGAGTACCGTGCCTTGTGGCACTCAGCTACTCCGTTTCGAGTTGGTACTAACCCTCTGTCTCCTACCTATGAGGAATTCCCTAATCCAGTTTAGTAAGCTTTCTTTGATACCAAGAAGTCAAAAGCTTTGCGGAAGTCTATGAGGACGACATCGACGGGTCTTCTATTGTCCCCTGATTTGACCCAGTTTTCTCTTGCAGTGAGGAGATTTGACAGGCATGAGAGGTTTCTTCGGAAGCCGTGCTGTGCTCTGGATAACAAGCTGCTGTTTTCCAGATATGTCATAACACTTTTCTTGATGATTCTTTCCACTGTCTTGATTAAGGTGCTGGTAAGATTAATAGGCCTGTAGTTTGAAGGGCATTATCTTGATCTTGCTTTGTGGAGGGGGTTACTATGACGTCTCTCCAGTCGCGCGATAACACTCCATTTAGGAGAGATAGCTTGAAGATCGTAGTCAGTGGGCCAGCTATGTGAGCTGATAGCTCCCTGAGAAGCCTTAGATGAAGAAAATCAGGACCCACTAATTTCTCTGCATCTAGTTCCTTCAGGCAGTTGAGCATGATGTCTTGGTCTATGTCAATGGAGTCTATCCTGTGTTCCTCTGATGTGGTCAGAGCTGATCATATGGGAAATGTTTACTCTTGTGTAAAGATTTCAGAGAAGTAGTCTGCCAATGCTTCTGCTTTTTCTTGATCCTCTTTGATTGTGTCATTGTCAATAGTCAGGTTTGGGATCCCATTGGATGTCTTATTCCTGTAGTTCATGTACGAGAAAATTTTCTTAGGTTGTGCCGTTGCATTCTGCTTCGAACTTCATCCTTGATTAGCGCATTTCTGCAATAGCTTTGTTCCTGGCGACGTTGTCTATCTGGTCTCAGAAGTGTCAAGTGTAGTAAACAGGTTCCAACATTTATGTTTACATCTGAGTAATTCGCGAATTTGTTTATCCAGGGGAGTCAATGTGTCCAACACTTTGTTAAAGATCAAAGGATGAAAGGTTCAGTTACTTGGGCGTAAAGTTGCTTAAACTGGTTCCATGTGGCTTCTATTTGGGACTCTGTGTTCATGTACCAGTTCACTGAGTTGGCTGCTGAATCTATCGCATTTATATCAGCTTTCCAAAAGTTTGGTCATTTGGGGTTATTGCCCATGATACTGCTTCTGTGATTTTGAAAGTGAGCAACGCGCGATCGCTTCTTTCTAAGGGAGGAAGATGTATGAGGTCCACATCCTCAACATGGGAGAATACTATGTCCAGGGTTGAAGAGGAATGCTGTAAGTCATAGCGCGTGGGCGTCATGACATTTTGGACAAGGGGAGAGCGAAATGCTGGATTCCGATAGTTTATAGTGAAAGGAGTTTTCTGAAGATGGCGTTGTAAGACATGTCCAGTTAACTGTTAGGGATTAAAGTCGCCGACTACGAAACTTCGACATTTCAATGTTCAGGAGCCTAGCTTCTTTATTAGGAAGTCGTCTGCATTGCAGTCGGTACTGCGGTATATAGCAATGAGGTGAATGTCTTGGCCTATACATTTAAGTTTGCAGTGTAGAAGTTCACACGTTCCACTTTCGTATGCGAGAGCTTCAATGCTACGCCTGGTTAGGCATTTCTTGAGGTAGATGACTACGCCACCTCTTTTGTGTCTTAGTCAGTCCGCCCTATGCACTATGAATTTTAGCAGGTTAACTTCGTTATCAGTGACATCGGATGTGAACCATGTCTCTGTTATGGTAATTATATCCGAGTTTCCGGAGTCTATCATATAACTCAGCCCAGTCCGTTTGTTCAACAGGCTGCAGGTGTTCGTATAGCGAACCGCCAACTCAGTTTGTTGCTTCTATGGCCAACCTACAGATGTTTCGGGATCATCAAACTTCGAACTTTGACATCTGGAAAACCCTTAATCTTAAGGATTTTCGGCGCCGTTCGCTTAATTCTAGAGTCGCAAACTGTCTTTTGACACGGTGTGCTAGGCATAAGTCGGCACGGAGGTACGTGCGTGATCCATCAGGAATTTTAGAATTGTTTAGTATAGAACCCCTCTCTGCTTTTGAGTTTGGTACGCCCTTGAGAAGGCTGATTTACTGTGGAGTGAGCCTTTTGGC